CCCGACATTTTAATTCCCTTCTCCTTTCTTTGGGCTGCGTCAAAGTTGATTGGCCTGACAGCCTTGATTTCCTGCGGGTGCTAACCCCTCCCTCTTTTGTTTAAAGGGCAGGTTTCATTCAGTCGGGTTTGTGGTTTTACCAGGCCACTCTTTCCTTGGGAGCAGACTAAACAAACGGGTTAAAAGAAGCTATGAGGGCTTCCCTGGTGGCGCAGTGGTTCAGAGTCCGCCTGCCGATGCAGGGGACACGGGTTCCTGCCCCGATCCTGGAAGATCCCACATGCCGCGGAGCGGCTGGGCCCGTGAGCCATGGCCGCTGAGCCCGTGAGCCATGGCCGCTGAGCCTGCGCTCCGCGATGGGAGAGGCCACAACAGTGAGAGGCCCGCGTACCGCAAAAAAAAAAAAAAAAAAAAAAGAAGCTATGATATCACCTCATAGTCTTTTAAAAATCTTAAACTGGGCAGATTCAAAACATCATGGCTGTATGTTGAAGGAGGGAAAGTAGGAGCTCACGAAAGCAATATCCTATAAACGTGGGCTTGGCCTGCTATATTTACAAGTGCCCGCAGTCTCCAACTTTACCTTAATAAAATATGGTTTCCCGAACTCCCCGCTGAGGTGCTTCTTCCAACTCTCACCAAAACCTACAGGCACATTGCGCGCTGCGAGTCTGAGCAGTGCGGCGGCTTTGTTCCTCTGGATGCGGACCAACTGCTCGGGGCTCAGTGGCGACGAGGGCGGCGTGCCGGGCTCCTCCTGCCCAGCCCGGATCTTCTTGGCGGGGCTGGCCTGCAAGTGGTCCCCGCAGAAACGGGTCACGAGCTGCAGCGCACCTCTCCCGGGAGCCCGCAGCTTCCGTCCCCAACCCAACAGCCCAGGGTAGAGGACACCCATTCTTGGGGTTTCAGCCCCGCTCGGCAGGCTCGTACAAAACCGGACTCTGGAAACCCAGGGCTGATCCCAGTCCGGCACTAACAGGCCGCTGCCCCAAATTTCGAGTTTGGTACCAAAACAGGGCAGGAAAAAAGTCTGTGAGCAAGGCCCGCAGCGCCTCGCTAGGGGTTCGCGGAGAAGGGGCCCAGCACCCAGGGCCCCGCCCCGCGGGTCCCGCCACTAGCGTCCCCACGTGGTCTTTTCGCGGCAAAAACCCTCCCCTCCAGGACCCACCCCCCTCCCTCCTCTGATTGGAGGGTGAGCCGGGCCCCTCGCCTCTGATTGGCGCCGTGGGCCCCGAGGTTCGCCTCCATTGGCTGACCCCTCAGCATGGCCGCCGATGAGGCGCCACGGCGGCTGTTTTGAACACGTGGAGGCCCCAGTTTACCCAGTCAGCCCCATGTTCCAGCAACCCCTCGGTCGCGCGGGGTCCGCCGCCCTCCTCGCCCTCTTCGCCCTCCTCACCCTCCCTTCCCCCTGACCCCCGGCCCCACGAGCGGTCCCCGCCGCGCCTTACCGCCTCATCCCCGCTCTCAGCTACCGCCGCCACGCCGTTCCACTGCTCGGCCGGCTCGGAGCTGCAGGCACGTCGCTTCCTGGAGGGGCTCGGGGAGAAGAAGGAGTAGAGGGTCTTCTGGCCAATCATCCTGGAGCCGAGGAGGGAGCGAACGCGCGCTGCCCGGGGACCCGCGAGCTTGGCGCTAGCCGCGGCGGTCAGCAATTGGCGCCAAGCAACCCGCGCATGCTCCGACCGGGGGGGTGTGGGCGAGGGGGCAGCGGAGGTCCTAGTGCGCATGTGTGGGAGGGGCCGCTGGGTAAGGTCCCTGAGGCGAAGTGGGGCTCAGAAAGGTCTTTAGAGCGGGCGGGGTTCCTTAGGTCGGTTCACTCAGATGTTTACTCTTTCATTCATTCTTCTCACCCATCATACCTCTGCCTTGGGCAAGTCCCTCCACCTCTCAGCCTGTGAAAGAACTTAAAAGTACCCGCCCCGTGGGTTTTTTTGTGGGAGTGAAATTAGCTTTAAAATAGTAATTGTTAAAAAAAAAAAAAAAAGTAATTGTTTTGCTTTTAGTTGTCCAATTTTCACGACCTGTTTTACTGACGACAAACCAAGGTCTAGAAGCCTAACCTGTAAGGTTTGGGGGAGACTTTAACAGAGGTCATTAAGGTTAAACTCCAAACTAGTCATCCTCTGAAAGACATCCCCATACACCTGGGATTCTTCCCCTCTCCCTCCCTCCCCACATCCAAACTGTGGACAGGTCCTCTTGGGTTCATCTCCATAATAAAGCCCAAATTCAAATGCTGTTCTCAATCTCCGGTCTACTAACTACAGTCCCAGCGGGTCTTCTCTTTTCCTACCTAATCATCTTTTTGAAATGTAAATTACACCATAATAATCCCCAGGTTAAAATCCTATAGCTTCCAAATATGTTTGGAATAAAATCCTTGCTTCTACATACATACAGATGGTCAACAGGCACAGGAAAAGATGCTCAACATCTCTAATTATTAGAGAAATGCAAATTAAAACTACAATGAGGTATCACCTCACACCAGTCAGAATGGCCATCATTAAAGTGTCTACAAGTAGTAAATGCTGGAGATGGTGTGGAGAAAAAGGACCCCTCCTACACTGTTGGTGGGAATGTAAATTGGTGCAGCCACTATGGAGACCAGTATGGAGGTTCCCTAAAGAAACTAAAAATAAAGTTATCATATGATCCAACAATCCCACTCCTGGGCATATATAGGGAAAAAACTCTAATTCGAAAAGGTATATGCGCCCCAATGTTCATAGCAGCACTATTTACAATAGCCAAGACATGGAAGCAACCTAAACGTCCATTGACAGATAAATGGATAAAGAAGCTGTGGTATATACACAAATGGAATATTAGCCGTAACAAAGAACAAAATAATGCCATCTGCAGCAACATGGATGGACCTAGAGATTATCATACTAAGTGAAGTCAGAGAAAGACAAATATCATATCACATATGTGGAATCTAAAAACATGATAGAAATAAACGTATTTACAAAACAGAAATAGATTCACAGACATAGAAAACAAATTTATGGTTACCAGAGGGGATGGGGCAGAGATAAATTAGGAGTTTGGGGTTAACATGTACACAGTACTATATATGAAATAGATAAACAACAAGGATCTACTGTATAGCACAGGGAACTATATTCAATGGAACCTATAATGGAAAATAATCCGAAAAAAGAATATATGTATATATGTATAACTGAATCACTTTGCGGTACACCTGAAACTAACACAACATTGTAAATTAACTATACTTCAACTTTTAAAAATGGTTTTAAAAAAAATCCCTGCTTCTTACCAGTTGGCAAGGCTGCTTCACCCTCTCACGGAAGCCCAGCTGCTGTGACATGATGAGTCTGGTTCTCAGCACAGTCACCAGGCATACCCAGCTGTCCCTTGTGTGGTCTTACACCTTGCATGCACTGTCCCCCTGCCTGGAAAACCTCAGGTCTCAGCTCGAGACCCTGCCTCTGAAGGGCCTTCTCCTCCTGCCCCACTTTCTAGCAGGTCACTCTATTTACAGCTTCTGTACTATCTAAGATGATCTTATTGGGACTTCCCTGGAGGTCCAGTGATTAAGGCTCTGCGCTTCCACTGCAGGGCACATGAGTTTGATCCCCGGTCAGGGAACTAAGATCCCGCATGCCTTGTGGTGTGGCCAAAATAAAATAAAATAATCTTATTTATTCTCTCCTTGTTTATTTCTGTCTCCATCTCCAACACGTAACCTGGGTGAGGGCAGGGACTTGATTCTTGTTACTGTTGTGTTCCAGCGCCTAGGACAAGGAGCTTGATGTGTAAGAAGAAGAGATGTTCATAATTTAAAATTATTTTTAAAATAAGAAAATAAAAGCCACTGTGAAAAAGTTTGGCAGCTTTGTATAAAGTGACACATACTCTTACCATGTGCCCCTGTGATCCCACTCCTACGTATTTACCCAAGTGAAATTGGACTCTATATTCACATGAGAGCTTGTACATGAATAGATATAGTGACCTTATTTGTATTTTCCCCAAACTGGAAACAACCCAAATGCCCCTCAAGTGGCAAGCGGGTGGACAAATTGTAGGGCATGAGTACAAGGGCAGCTTACTCAGCAATAAAAAGGAATAAACTGATACGAACAACATGGATACATCTTAAAAGCTTTAGGCTAAGTGAAAGAAGCCAGACACAAAGCCTATATATTGTATCATTTCATTTACAAGAAATTCTGGAAAAGGTAAAACTCTAGGGACAGAAAACACATCAGTGGTTGCCAGGGGCTGGGTAAGGGGGTGAGTTGATAACTAGGAGATTTGGGGGAATTTTATGGGATGATAGAATTCTAGATCTTGATTGTGGTGTGGTCACACAACTGTTTACCTTTGTCAAAATCTGCAGAGCTGGACGCTAAGAAGATTCAAAACAAAGCCCCCAACCTCTTTTCATTCCATTGGCCAAGAGAGAGAGTAAATAAAAATTGGTGATAATAAAAGCTGACATTTGTTTGAAGCACAGAAGCCCTTCTCACACATCCTCTCATTTACTCCTCATGGTGTTCTCATGGCATAGGTTTTGTAGTCCCCACTGTTTAGAGAAGGCAGTTCAAGCCCAGAAGGGTTAAGTGACCTGTAGGAGCCACACAGCTACAGTTGAGGAGACAGAAATGGAAGTTACGTGGTCTGATTGCAGAATTCGTGCTCCTATCTGCGACAATATGCTGGTTGGCCCAACTCCCTGTCAGGAAACGAAATTAATCCCCAGGGAGAGATGATACCGAACAACAGCTGCCAAACCATCGGGGACCCTGCACTGCTGCGGAACAAATAACGTTACCCAGAAATACGGCGGTGCTTGCAACACGCCCGGAGGGCCAACAGGCGGCGCCCGGAGGCCGCCCACCGCTTTGTTTTGCAGATTTGCCTGGATTTTCTCCAGTTCGCGGCTGAAATCTACCCGGAAGCAGTTCTGTGGAGGGGGTAAGTGTTTCCTCTTTCCCGCAGGACCTTTCTCCAGTGTCTGGGAGAAGCGGAGCTTCGCGGGAGCTGAGATTTTAAAGAGACCCCTAGGCGCCACCCACCCCCCGCACGTGTTACAATTCTTATTTTCTATCAGAATTCGGCGTGCTGGTGTATGACCACGTTTAACCGTTTTTACATTTAGATTCAGAATCTTGTCCGTGTAAGGATCGCAATACTTACCTGTTTTAATACTTGCGTGGGAGGCCGGCCAGTTATCTACCCCTCACCCGCCAGCCTGTCCTTTGCAGGGTGGAAGGGAGAGAGAGACGTGCTTTTCTGGGTGACTTTGAGGAAACCTCTCCCCCTCTCAGTGTGTCAGTTTCCCCATATGTAAAGTGAGGGTTTGGGTTGCAGTTTCCAAGTTTGCCATTGGCGTGCGAATTCCGGGGGGTGGGTGTTTCTTTAAAACTTCGGATATTTGCGGGTGGAGGGCAGGCACACGTGGGTGTTGCAAGCTAGGCAGCTGATTCTAATACCTACCCAGGTGTGGGAGGGATCCTTCCAGCTTTAACCTCCTCTTACTTCCTTTATAGGACATGGTGTTAAACTTTAAAATGGGAACTTAAAAACTGGAGGAATGCCACTGTGAGACCACTTTGCAGAGTGGATTTTGGCATTTGGGACAGAGCCTGGGCAATCTCTCTCTCTCTCTTGGCCTGGCCACTGGCTACCAGGTGTTTGCTTTGTGGAGACTAGATGGACAGATTCCTGGTGAAGGGGGCTGTCAGGGGCCTTATGGGAAAGAGGGGGCAAGAGCAGACCGGAGGAGGCCCAGCAGGGTCGGCAGAAGAGGAGGGGACCAGCAGGAAAAAGCCCAGGACAGCAGCCCCGGGGAATGGGGTCCACTCGGCAGGCCTCAGCTGGAGGCACATTGCAGCCGAGGGCCTGGACTGCGATTACACAGTCCTGTTTGGCAAGGCCGAAGCAGATGAGATTTTCCAAGAGTTGGAGAAAGAAGTGGAATATTTTACAGGTAAGCAGGGGACGGTGGGGTGTGTGTGGAAGGCTTGTTGGATAAAACTAGTGGTCCGTGTTTAGGGAAATCTGAACCCAGGAGCCATTAATTACAGATGAGTTTGTTAATTGACTGAACACATATTCCGGGCACCTCTGGGCCAAGCAACTTGCTGGGTGCTTGGGATACAGACTTAATAACAGGGACCTCCTGTCCGCTGAGAGCGGAGAGATGGTAAATTACCAGGTAATTCCTATGCACGAGGTTCTCAGCATCACCTGGAGGACTTTGTTGCTTGTGAGAACGCCATGGCTTGCCCTGCCCCTGTAGTCTAGTGTCTAGAGTTTCCGGGTGCTGCTGATCCGGGGACCACACACTGAGAACCGCTGCAATGTGGCAGAGCACAGGGACGGGGAGATGTAGAAATGCCCACGGGAGACCCAGCCTCCATCCTGAGCTGAATTAGCACCATCTTCCATCGATGCCCTTTGTCCCCACAGTTGGCAAAATCACCGTGCTAGCGTGTAACCTGACTTCATTTTGCTCCAATTTCAGCCTCTATATTACGGTTGTAGTGAGCAATTAAGTTAGGGTGTTTTTATAAAAAACTTGGACTAGGGCTGTGTATCTCCAAGTGTCGGACAAGAATCACTGTCCTTACATGAACGTTTTGGACGAGCCACAATGATTTTTGAGGAGGGGGTCCCTGGTCGGGGTATTAGATGTTATTCCTCTTTTACTTCCTTTTCTGAATACTCAGGGAGTGTGGATTGTCTGAGGCGCTGCTATGTTTCCCCTGCACAGGTGCGCTGGCCAGGATCCAGGTGTTTGGGAAGTGGCACAATGTCCCAAGGAAGCAGGCGACGTATGGTGACACTGGGCTGACCTACACCTTTTCAGGCCTTACTCTGTCTCCAAAGCCCTGGGTCCCTGTCCTAGAGCGCATCCGGGATCGCATTTCTGTAGTGACTGGACAGAACTTCAACTTCGTGCTTGTCAACAGGTGACCCCCTAACTGTTTGTACCTTTTACTTTTTAGGACAGTGGACTGAATTCTATAAACCTGTCTCTTCCAAAAAGAAGAGTTTAGGATTCCACCTTACTTTACTCATTTGTACAACAAATAACTCTTCAGTGTAGTTAGGGGAGTAGTAGTGGAACATAAGCAATTAGTCTTTATGGAGCTCTCACCATGGCGGGAGTGAGAGGCCGCAAACTGATGAACAGGTGAACAAGATAACTTCAGACGTTGATAAGTGTCTCGTAGAAAGTTAAACAGGCTGATCTAAGAACGGCTGGGAGGAAGGAGTCTGGGTTTCTCAACAGCAACGCTCCTGATGCTTTGGGCCAGATAATCCTCTTCCTGGGGCTGACCTGTGCATTGCAGGATGTTGGGGAGCATCCCTAGCCTCCACCCACCAGATGCCAGTACCACCCTGTGAATGAAAAACGTTGCCTGCCATAGCATCCAACAAAGGATGCGGAGCCATCAAGCCCCTGTAGCCCTGAGGGAACTCAGGATGGAGACATACCCATTGCCAAGCCCTCAGCCCCTGCAGCCACCACCAGTGTGCCCCCTGAGGGGACTCAGGATGGGAAAGGACAGGATACTGGCCCCAGAGGGCTGAGGTGCATCGCAAAGGAATGATTTCAGTGAGCCCAGACTGTCCCATACACAGAAAGGCACTAAATTCATTAGCTCGAGATGTCTGGTTTTCTTTTAATTATCAGTAATCTTTTGATGTTCTAATGATTGTCGGCTCCCCCCTTACCTCTTCGGAGCAGTCCCCCAGAGCTGGCTGAGAGGCTGCCTCCTTTTAGACTGTGCATTTTTTTCAGGGGTCCCTTTGGTCAGAGCAACCAGAATGTCTCCAGACATCGCCTAGTGCCCCCTGGGGGGCAGAGTCACCCTGGTTGAGAACTCTGGGTTTAAGGGAAGATGGTTAGAGGAGGGTTCACGGAGGGGTGACGCCCGAGCTGATAGCTAAACCAAGAGAGAGTGGGAGCCACACAGGCACCTGGAGGGAGAGCAGAGGGAGCTTGGAGTGTCTCGAGTGGAAATCCCGCTGGTGGTGCTGGAAAGCAGTGATGAGCTCAGAGGCCGGCGGGGGCCAGACTGTGCGAGGAATACGGGTTTTAAGTGTAGGGAGAAACCGTCTTACGCGATGAAGGTTTACACATACGAACCCTGCGGGAGAACTCTAAGACTTGTGTTTGGCCTCTGTTGGTGTGCTTTGTTTGTTTGATGGCTTGTGGGATCTTAGTTTCCTGACCAGGGATCAAACCTGGGCCCCCGGCAGTGGAAGCGCAGAGTCCTAACCATTGGACCGCCAGGGAATTCCTTACTGGTTTTAAAGCGTGTGATCAAAGAGGGCTGATAACAAAGTGAAAGGCTTGCCTCATCTGTGGACCAGATGTAGCCCTCCAGCCGCTGCAGAAACCTGTGCTCGTGGCACTGTTTCCCTGCAGGCAAACGAGGGCTCTGGGTGTGGGTGTGTTTCCACAGAGGGCTGTTCTGTGAACTCTGCTTGTTTTCTCACTGCAGGTACAAAGACGGCCGTGACCACATTGGTGAGCACAGAGATGATGAGAGAGAGCTGGCTCCTGGGAGCCCCATCGCCTCTGTCTCCTTTGGGGCTTGCAGAGACTTCTTCTTCCGGCATAAGGATTCCCGGGGGAAGCACCCCTCCCGGAGGCTGGGGGTGGTCAGGCTCCAGCTGGCCCACGGAAGCTTACTTATGATGAACCACCCAACCAACACTCACTGGTACCACAGTCTCCCCGTCCGAAAGAATGTTCTGGCTCCCCGGGTCAACCTGACATTTCGGAAAATCCTGCCTATTACAAAGTAAAAACGTTTTTAACAGCTAGTACTTCTGTTAGTTCCTTCCTTCTCTACTCCAAGAGGGAGCTGGCATTTCCTTTACCAACAGGGAACATGGAAAAGGTTGAACCCAAGCGCAGGGCTTCTTACATACAGTGCCGAACTCAGAAAGAGGATGTTTGTATCGAGTCGGTGAATTATGAAAGAAGACCAGTTGATTTTTTTCCTAACAAAATGATTCTTTTATTGCTATAATACACAGCAGATACAAAAGGTACCTTTAGCAAAAACATAAATCAGCAGTTATTATGGCATAAACTACGAGTTTAACTTCGGTTTTTGCAAAAAGAAGCGACTTTGTAAATAACTTAAAGCTAGAAGTAAGAGTGTTTGGCTGCTACTTAATGCCTAATGATTTACAAAAAATGAGAAAGTCACCTTTAAGTCAGGGGAAGAGACTTTGCACGGAGATCATTCACATTTACAACTGTGGCTCAATCCCTCCGACCAAAGATCTGCTTACAACTGAACGCTAAAAGGATGAGCCCCGTTCATCTCTCTTTAACGGCAGATTGCAAAGCGTAAGCAGTGGCAGAGCAGCAGTTGCTCCAAGCTACAACTTTGCCAGGCAGGTTAAAGTCACGTGATTGAGCATTTGTTTCCCCCAGACCGCGGGTACCACGGGGACGTGCCTTTCACCGTCAAAGCCGGGGTCTGTAAGAAGTCGGGAAGGGACGTCTGCCATGAACAGACCAGAAGCTTTGTGTGGCTCCTTTCTCCCTGAGGTGTGTGGCCTGGAGAACTTCACAGTCCGTTCTGTCAATAGCAAGAGTTCCGAGTCCTCAGGATGCACGCTGGGCCTGGGGGAATGGGGATCACCTGGGCCTCTAGCGCTTTCAGCTGACACCAAGGCCTTGTCTGGAAGTGTCTGCCAGCTGGTCCCCACCAGGGGAAGCACAGTCCTCAGCCTGACCTCAGGTGACCTTTTGGACACGTCTGATTCCAAATCTTATCTCTGAAGAGTCAGTGCATTTGTTTTTTGTTTTAAATAAAAGAGCCTAGCTAAAACATAGATACCCCTGTGTCATCAAAATTCCTTCGGCCCTGGGCTGCCTTCATTAGACTTACCTGAAGAGAGGGGAGGATGCCCAAGAGAGGCCTTTTGTATGAGGCTACTGGAAACGAATACATTTAGAATATGGACCTAGAACAGAATGACAGTACTAGATATCAGCCATAATTTTATGTTCAAAAAGTTTTTTAAACTTCTTTTTTGTGGGAAGGGCTGGACTTGGATGGTCATGGAATCTAACTCATCACTTTACAGATGAGGAAACTGAGGTCCAGAGAGGCAGCAGCCCCAAGGTCAGTGCCCTTCTTTCAGAATCCAGCTCTCCAATGGAGGCCAGGATTGTCTTTCTGACACAGCCCCCGGCTCCACCTGTAAACCTCAGGAGCTCTTCATGGGCAATAAATAAATAGATGAGAATAGCTGTCCACCGTGGGGTCCTTGTGTGAGAAAGGGTTTTCTACAGAGCGGAGGAGTCCTAGGTGTGGCACACAGGCCACCGAGTTCTGGCTGTTCACACAGTTATATAATATGCGATAATCACACCTCGGAGTCCAGGATACAAAAGATAACAGCAAAGAGAAAGCTGGTCACTTGTAACTGACAAAGTAGAGAAAGAATTTCCCCGAGGGGCGGATTTGGCACATGAGCTTTTACTACATATAAAGAATCGAAAGCTTAGAAAAAGACATATAAAAAGGGAAGGCGGGTGTGCATCAGGCGTCTTTTAAGTGTTCTGTTGCTCTCTGTTCGGTAACTTTGGAAGGTACAGAGCTTTTCAGAAACTGCTTATATGATGCCCAGATGAGGTGTGTTTTCCAGGAGGGACATGCTACGAGAGCAACTGAGAGTGAAAGGCACTTCTTCGAAGTTGTTGCCTTTAGTAATTTCACTAATTCAACCATTTTTATGGGACTGCTTATTAAAAATAAAAGATCTATGCTGAAACTCTGGAGGATCAGACAAAGTTAACTCCCCTCTGAGAACACCTAATGTATCAATCTAAAAACGGTGGCTTCTGGAGTCTGGTTTCTTTTAATTACCTGGATCAGGTGAGTGACAAGACACGCTCTAGACACAATGACTGCTTTCCTAGCCCGGCACCGCTGCCCTGGTACGCACGGGCAGAGCTGTGCGGGGAGCCTGACCTCGTTTGAATCGGGGCCACCAGCTCCTGTGTGGAGCCTGCTCTTAGAACACGCCAGAAGGCTGCAGGACTCTAGTGGGGCTGCTTGCACGTACACACCACAGCACACACGCACACGCACACACACACAGCTTGGACGGAGCCATCAGCTCTAGCTTCGGGGCCAGGGCAGAGTCATTCTTCAGACTTGCACTCCTGACTCTGGTGCTGCATCTTGGAAAGAACACGCTCGTAAAACAGCAGGTAGGCGCTGGAGGACAGCACCTCCTGCAGGCTGGCCTTGCGGACGGTGTCGTCAGAAATCCACAGCCACTGGTTGCTGGTGGAGAGAGGGTTCTTGGCCGAAGGTGGGGACCGTCGGTAGGTCACGAAGTGTCCCGAGTGCATGTCTCCGTGGTGGACAACAACTGCCACCAGCTGGAAGAGGTACGTGGAGGAGCTGAACGGTAGGAACAAATGCCAGTGGTTTACAAATACAACAAGGAAGGTTTAGAGGCAAAGCAAAGAGGAGGGCTTCCCTGGTGGCACAGTGGATGAGCGTCCGCCTGCCGATGCAGGGGACACGGGTTCGTGCCCTGGTCCGGGAAGATCCCACATGACGCGGAGCGGCTGGGCCCGTGAGCCATGGCCGCTGGGCCTGCGCCTCCAGAGCCTGTGCTCCGCAACGGGAGAGGCCACAACAGTGACAGGCCCGCGTACCGCAAAAAAAAAAAAGCAAAGAGTAAAAAATCCTAGGTGTTCAACAATAGGGGACTGACACAATGGTCAGCTATACAACTGAATACACAATTCAGCTATACAACTGAATACTATGCAACCACTGAAATAGAGACCTGTATTTACTGGCCTGGTAAACTGTCCATTCTTTGAGTGTATGTACGTTGTGTAGTATATGCATGCACACACACACACACACACAGCTTTACAGGTGGAAGACAAAGATTTAACTGGTGATCTATCTTTAGGTGGTGTCCCCAAAACTTTTAAAATTTCTTTCTTTATATTCTATGTACATACTTTCATACATATGTACATGTATACACACATACACATAACATTTACATTTTATGGACTTTATAATTCTTATTTTTAAAGCCATCAGTGAATGAGGCATATGCGTCTAAAAAGTGGCTCACCTGTAGTCAGGAACAGCTGGGAGGGGGAAGGCCATCGGGGTTGGCAGCGTGGGCAAGAAGGATGGGGAGCAGGTGCCGTTCATGAAAATCTGTGTTTTGGGGCCCCCCGGGTGACTCCGAACTGCAAGAGAAAAAGGCCGAAGGCAATGAAAGTGAGCAGCAGCTTTGGGTAAACAAGACATGGTTTGGATTAGCTTGAAATTTAACTCCCCAGTAAGGCTACAGAGGAAAAACAGACACGTGATTTTGTCCTATGCTGATTCATAAAACTTCCTTTTTGTCTCTGCCTGTTTTAATCCCCAAATAGGAAAAATGTACCCAGCTCCTAGCCTCCTGCTCACTTTGACAACTCTGTGAGTCTTTGAGATTCCCAGCCCTGTTTGCTAAAGACCTGCACCCCTGCCAGGGAGAAGAGGAAGCCAGGGCAAGGAGGTCCTGGATTTAAAACTGGGCCCTCTTCCCACCCCAGCTGCTCCCAATGTTAAACTATTGACCTTTTGAGAAAGGACAAAGCTCGGTCTCCCTGTGAATGATGTCCTGCCACACAAATGGATGTAGGAAAGAATAATGGTAGTAAGGGGTGTTAGGTGGGGAAAGTCTGGGGTGCAGGGAAGACAGTCCTGGCACACAGGTGGCGAGTTCAGGCTTGGAGCCTTGAAAGTCGGTGAGTTTTCCTCATTTACAAAGAACTGAACATATTACATACAACACCTTTATAAAACTGTCCCAACAGGGCTTCCCTGGTGGCGCAGTGGTTAAGAATCTGCCTGCCAATGCAGCGGACACAGGTTCGAGCCCTGGTCTGGGAAGATCCCACATGCCGCAGAGCAACTAGGCCCATGAGCCACAACTACCGAGCCCGCGCGTCTGGAGCCTGTGCTCCACAGCAAGAGAGGCCGCAACAGTGAGAGGCCCGCGCACCGCGATGAAGAGTGGCCCCTGCTCGCCACAACTAGAGAAAGCCCTCGCACAGAAACGAAGACCCAACACAGCCAAAAACAAATAAATTAAAAAAAAAACAAAAAAACCTGTCCCAACACTTCATTCCAGTACCAGATCCCCCATCTGTTGTTTGCCCCTGGACCAATCAGCCTCTGGGAGCCTCAGTTTTCTCTTCAGTGAGACAGAGTGATAATAGCTACCTGGCTTCACTGGGACCCGATCAATAATTAGCTTCAAGGGAGGATGGTAATGGGATCAGACAAAAAGCAATTCAGCAAAGAAGTATCAACCCAAATAAGATGTTCAGGGATCTTCAGCCAGGACATTCCTCCCCACAGTTCCTGTCTAAACGAGGTGACTGTACTGGGGAGAAGAAAAGAGAAGAAATTCACTGGAATGAGTTGAGCCAATTATTGTTTAGTCAGAAGACCAGAAAGCAACCTTTTGCTTTCCTGCCTATAGTTTTTCATTTGTCAGAGAGTTTTTAAAAACTAGACATCTCATGACTGTATCATTTAAACCTCTTTTACAAAACCTTTCCCTTCCCACCCCCAATCCTGCTGTTCTCAAGAATTTAAGCAGCCGTTGGGTGAGCCTGGCCCTTGTGGCACAAGGAACCCGCAAATTCCAGCTGCGTTGGCCCCTCGGGCAGGCACCTGGCTTGGGGGCTGCCGGCCCGTCTTGCAGCTCCAGCGCAGGCCCTGCCTTCTCGTGCAGCTCGGGGCTGTGGTGAACGGGTTTGTGTCCGAGCAGGTGATACTTGTAGATGTCCATCATCAGGAACTCGTTGAACTGCACGTGCTCGTGCCGCTTCAGGGGTGTGCCGTGGCTGGACCAGCTCAGCCGCTGGAGATGGATGCACAGACACTGGGGGAGCTGCGGGTGGGAGAGACGGAAAGAGCCGTGGGTTGGGAGCGGGACCCGGGGGGCCCTCGGGAGCAGAGCCGGCCAGGCATGCGGCATGGGCTCACCTTCCCTAGTTTTAACTGTTTGACAAACGTGGTCCTCTGGTGTTCCACCTTCTCGCCATTCAGCGTCCCTTTTGCTTCAATCTGAAATCAAGGAAACATCTCTCTGCAGCAATTCTTTTTGGTTTTTTTTTTTTTTTTTTTTTTTTGGCAGCGTTGTGCAGCTTGCAGGATCTTAGTTCCCCGACCAGGGATCGAACCCACACCCTCGGCAATGAAAGCGCCGAGTCCTAACCACTGGACCGCTAGGGAAGTCCCTCTGCAGAAATTCTTGAAACAGGACCCCTAGGGACAGCTGTGGGTCAGGCTGGCGTTACAAGTGCATTCACTGGGCACTTGACGTCCACCTGCTGAAGGAACTCAGCCGCCCAATTATCTGTGAGTTGTCTTCACTCTTTTAGTCATTAACTAATGGTGACCGTGGAGGCAAAAGAAGTAAAGAGGCCGCACTGAAACTGACACTAGCATGTCATTTGTTTCGTTCTGTGTCTTCAAAATTTCTGGCCCCCACAGTTCCTCTTAATTCAGAGGGTGATGTTTAATTGCTCGGGGGAGTCGGCCAGGTCGCTCAGCTGAGGCAGATGTGAAAAAGGCGGGTGCGGAGGGAACTGCAGTGAATTGGAGTGGGCCTGTCCCACCTCAAAAGATGGCATTCAAATTTTTTTCTTTAAACATTTTGTGGATGAAACCAAACTCATCTGGGAAAAAGATTTGGTCCGTGGGCTGCCAATTTCCTCAGCAACTTAGATGGATGTGGCTGTGGCTGCAGAGAGCCTCTGGGGGTAGTCGGCAGAGCTCAGGGCCGGCGGTGTGGGAAGCGCTGTATCAGGACACGTGGGCCGGCTCAGGAAATGGCACTTGGGGTTAAAGCCATACCTTCGTACAGTTGTCACATACGACATCCCGCACGGATTCCGACGAGATGAAGTGGTGAAGGCAGTGGTCCAGGGTCAGTGGATGACCCTACAGCACAAGAAGAACATTCATGGTTACAATTCAAGGAGAGCTAGACTGAAACTGTTAACAGTGTGAAGCCCAGAGCTTTATTCTGCTTAGGCAGGCAGTGAAGCTTCACAGACACAACTGGGTGTTTCCTGAACAAATGGGGAGCCCAGAGCATCTTGGATTTGCTCTTATGGATAGATTCAAGGGTATGAGGACATAACACTGCAGAAAATTATGGGCTTCCATGTTCTTGTAGATAGCTCTGAATTTGAGATTAATGTGTGTGTGTGTGTGTGTGTGTGTGTGTGTGTGTGTGTTCAAAAAAGCCAAAATTTCTGCAGCAAGAGAGAAAATGCCCACCTTCTCCCCCCAAGACAGGCCATGGTACCACAGATTAAAACTAAGATGGGTTCAACCAACCATGTGTCTGAGTCATGTGTAGTAGCTGAGCTACACGAAATGTCTCAAAGCCCTTTCAGATTCAAATGTCTCCAAAACAGACCCCAAGTAAACCACAGATCAGTACATACCCATGTGGCAGCTGGAATACTTAGTGAAAGGCTATCGAAGGTATCAAATCGAACGGGACTCTGAAACACATATTGCAGAAAAACCAAAAAGGACTTAGGTTCAATTCAAAGCTTTATAGATGGGAAGATATACGCCTATAAAACAGTTTAATATTTACATGCCCAACAGTAACATAGTCAAACATAATGTACTTACCTAGAAGCAAATTCTATTAAGAACAACCTTGTAAACGTAAGAACTACAATAATACTAAAGGATATCTTGGAAAAACTATACAATAGCATACCTGTCCCAGCAATTTTGGGATTTTTATCCTAAGGAAATAACCATGGATAATAAAACTACAAGGATGTGGTTATCACAGCATCATTTATGACGGCAAAATGTGAATGGGTGAAAATTCTAGGGGGTGATTAAATAAATTATATCATATCCATATATTATAGAATGGAATACTATATTAAAAATAGTGCAGTAGAGGGGCTTCCCTGGTGGCGCAGTGGTTGAGAGCCCACCTGCCGATGCAGGGGACACGGATTCATGCCCTGGTCCGGGAAGATCCCACATGCCGCGGAGTGGCTGGGCCCGTGAGCCATGGCCGCTGAGCTTGCGCGTCTGGAGCCTGTGCTCCGCAACGGGAGAGGCCACAGCAGTGAGAGGCCCGCGTACCACAAAAAAAAAAAAAAAAAAAAAAAAATAGTGTAGTAGAACTACACATAATTATATGGAAAGATGTGCATGTTATATGCATGTTATATTATTAACTGCAAAAAAAGCCCCAAAACAACAAATGATAAAACAGGGTTAAGAGGTCCTGCTTTCGGACTTCCCTGGTGGTGCAGTGGTTAAGAATCTGTCTGCCAATGCAGGGAACACAGGTTCAAGCCCTGGTCCGGGAAGATCACACAGGCCGTGGAGTAACTAAGCCCATGTGCCACATCTACTAAGCCTGCGCTGTAGAGCCCGTGCTCCACAACAAGAGAAGCCACCGCAATGAGAAGCCCGCGCACTGCAACGAAGAGTAGCCCCCGCTCACCACAACTAGAGAAAGCCCGCATGCAGCAACGAAGACCCAACACAGCCAAAAATAAATACATAAATAAATAAATTTATTTAAAAAAAAAAAAAGAGTTCCTGCTTTCGATTACAGCACAGTAGGTTGGCTAAACTAACTCTCCTTGACATAACAATTGTAAAATCTGGACCAAAACAAAACAAATTGAACAACTGGAGGGCTACCAAAAGCAGGCAGAAATGGAGAAGTCAATTCGTGGAGAAAAAGGACCTCGGTGGGGGAGATTTGCTATGTGTGGCTTCTTTGCCTGAGGGTCCCCCCTAATCCATGCAGCTCAGTGTTGGGTGGGAAAAAGCAGCAGTCTTACAGAATTAAGGTATCAGGAGACAGAGTTCAGGGCTGGTACAGAGGCTGGAGGAAATCCCAGAAAGAGAGGAGCCAGGAGAGGATAGGCCCTACAATCTGTGTATGAGCCCTGCCTGATTCCATGGCTGATCCCTAAAGCGCACAGACACGGAAGAGACTCCAGGGACTCAGCAAGAAGCTGCGGCTGGAGGCTGAGAAAACTGAGCAGAGATTCTGCCGCCCAGTGTTGGAGAGGGGGGGTTTGGAGTTTAAGCTCAGCCAAGGCAACTGCCTGCTAGAACAGAATTCATTATTTCTCAGAGAGACATACCAGAATCCAGAGTCTCTTCTACAGTGTCAATATTAAAAAATTACTAGACACACAGTACAAAGAAAGAAGAAAAGTGTGACCCATGGTGTGTAGGGAAGAGGAGGTGAGGACCTGGATGGTGCAATTAGCACAAGGACCCTAAAGGAGTATATTATAAATATGCCCAAGGACATAAAGGAAGAGAGAGTTATTCAGATCTAGCGGAGGACAAATAGAGGATCTCAGGAGAGAAATGGAAATTATAGAGAACCGAAAGAAATCTATAATTAAAAGGAACAATAACTAAAATGAAAAATTCACTGGACAAGCAAACAGAGATTGAAGATGGGAAAGACAGTCAGGAAATTTGAAGATAGGTCAATAGAAATTATCTAAATTGAAGGACACGGAGGAGAAAGACTGAAGAAAAAAGAACCAGGCCTCAGTGACCTGTGGGACGATATCAAATGGACTAACAAGTCGAGAAAGGGGCATACATTTTTTTGAAAAACATAGTGGCCAAAAAAATGTTCAAAGTTGGTGACAAGCATAAATGTACATAAATGTAACCAAACCAAAACAACAGCAACACTGTCAACCCAAAATTCTATACACAGCCGAACCAGTCTTCAAAAAGAAGAAGGGCAAAACAAAACCATTTTTATATAAATGAAATCTACGTGAATTTGTCAACAGACCTGCAAGAAATGTTAAAGGAATATTTTTAGACTGAAGGGAAAAAAATATCAAATGGACCTGGATCTACAGAAGGCACTGAGGAATACTGAAAATGGTAAACGTGAAATTTTTTTCTTTTAATTTCTTTTAAACACATATAACTGTTTAGAGTAAAAATTTTTATGACAGTGTTGTGGGGTTTATAATGTATGTACACGTAAATAATATATACGACAAAGCACAAAAGATGGGGTAACAGAACTATACTTTCATAATGTTCCTACATTTTACACAAAGGAATATGATATTAACTCTAAATAAACTGTGATAAGTTAACACTGCATGATGTAATGACACACACACAAATGTAAAAAAAATGTAGCTAAAAAGCTAACAGAGGAATTACAATGGAATACTAAAAAGTATTCAATTAACCCAAAAGAAGGGAGGAATGGAGGAACAGGGAAACAAAAACTATATGAGACAAGTAGAAAACCAACGGTAAAACAGCAGACCTAAATCCACCCTATAAATACCTACGTTAAATGTAAATGGACTAAACACACCGAATAAAAAGGCAGATAGGAAGCTGGATAAAAAGGCAAGACCCGATTATATGCTCTCTACAAAAGCCACACTTTAAATACAAAGACAAAAGATAGGTCAAAAATAAGAGCACAGAAAGAGACATACCATAGAAACACTAGTTAGATGGAAACTAAACAGACAAAATAGACTTCCAGACAAGGAGTCTTACTAGAGATAAGGAGGGACATTTTATCACGACAGTAAGAGTCAACTCATCATAATTAATTCATGTGTATGTGCCTAACAGCAAAGTCTCAAAAGAAATTCAGCAAAAATAGAACTAAAGAAATAAAAAGAAACAAATTCTAGCAAACACTTAAGGAAAAAGCAATACCAATATTACCCAAAGACCTTGAGGAAATAGAGGCAGGAATACTTCCCAGCTAATTTTATGAGGCTAGCATAACCCTTATAATAAAACCTGAGAAAGACATTACAAGAAAATCATAAACATGAAACACGAATAGCCTTCAGAAAATGTTAGCAAACCAAATCTAGTAATATATAAAAAGAATGACATCACAATAAAATGAAATTTATCCCAGAAACACAAAGGTAGTTTAACATTAGAAAAATCAATCACTGTAATTCACCATATTAACAGAATAAAAGAAAAAAAAAAGATCATCTCAATATATGTAAAAAAGTAAGACAAAATCCAATTATTAGTCATGATAAAAACTCTCAGCAAACTAGGAATAGAAAAGAACTTTCTCAGTGTGATAAAAGGAGAATATAAAAACTCAAAGATAACATCATACTTAATTACGAAACACCAAATATTTGTTTCTTAAGATTTGAAACAAGGCAAAAGTGGAAAAAACCCAATGTCCATCCGCTGATGAATGGATAAACAAAATGTGATCTATCCATACAATGGAATATTATTTGGTAATATTTGGTAATAAACAGGAATGAAGTACTGATACATGATACAACATGTGGAAGAACCCTGAAAACATTATGCTGAGTGAAAGAAGCTAGTCTCAAAGCACCATATGATTCCATTTATATGAAACGTCCAGAATAGACAAACTATATAGAGACAGAAAGTAGATTAGTGGTTTCCTAGGGCTGACAGAGTGTGGGGAGAAATGAGAAATGACTGCTAACGGGTACAGGGGTGGTTTTTTTGTGTGTGCGGGAGCAAGGGGTGGGTGATGAAAAATATTCTAAAACTGACTGAGGTGACAGTTGTACAATTCTCTATTTTTGCATCATGCTCAAAATTTTGCATAATAAAAATTTTAAATCTCAAAAGCAAAACACACACACACACACACACCAAAAAACCAGCCCTAGAATCTGTTGTGTTCACCATGGGTATAGACCCAACCTTAGGACTCAAAACCCTGCCAATCACAATGGGTCTGCTGCTCTTGGTACAGAAGATGCCATCTGAGAATCAACTGATATGTCAGCACTGACCAAGGGGGGGCAGTGGGTCCACCAAGCCTACAGACCCCAGAAAAATCACAGAAGCCAGACACCAATGTCAGTCCTCATGCTCTGGATCCTTCATGAATCTTTTTTTTTTTTTTTTTTTTTTTTTTTGGGGGTACGCGGGCCTCTCACTGTTGTGGCCCCTCCCGTTGCGGAGCACAGGCTCTGGAGGCGCAGGCCCAGCGGCCATGGCTCACGGGCCCAGCTGCTCCACGGCATGTGGGATCTTCCCGGACCGGGGCATGAACCCGTGTCCCCTGCATCGCCAGGCGGACTCTCAACCACTGCGCCACCAGGGAAGCCCCATGAATCTTAAATAAAACCTTGCCAGAAAATATCAAGTATTGGTATTGTATTTACCTGGTGCTCACAGTGTTTGCAGACCATGTTACTAGTAAGTCTTCCATGAAAAGGATGCTGGGACTTCCAGTGGCTGGATGTGGGATGAGGTGACCCTGGAATACAGAACACCTTTGGATAGGCCACCTCTAGCCCTCTGGCACCAACCTCAAAATTCACCCCCCTTCTTAGTATGTGGTAGACACACCTTCTTTAGGAAAAAAAAAAAAAAAGTTCCTGAAAAGGACACTGAAAGAGGTTCCCTTATTGAAATCCATCAAAAACACAACCAGTTCCCTTCACAGGAGAATTTACACAGGTCCTTAAATGTGGTTTCTATATAATAGGCACAGCCACATTTAAAAAAGAAATTTGTGTTTGATAATGTCTTTTTACAAACATTGTTTCAAATGTTTGAGATGTCACAAGAATGATACCACTGGTGAACATTCCATAAAGTGAGATAAACCTCTGAAATCATCAGAATAAGCAAGTTCTGAAAAACGCGAGCTTTGGGGGGGATAGGATGGGGGCTAGCGGAATAAACACAGCAGCGTGGTGTGCTAGTCGGAACCACGGGCTCCAGGTCAGGCCAGCCTGGGCTGGGTCCTGGCTTTGCTTATTAGCCACGTGACCAGAGCCAGAGACTTCATCCCGGTAAGCCTCAGTTTGCTGGAAATGGGGATAATTATGACCCCACTATCCTCCACACCCCAACTTCATAGAGCTGTTGGGAGGCTTAAGTGAGATATTACGGTGCCTGGCACACGGTATGGACCCAAAAGAGAATTGTTCTCATTACTACCAGTGTGCAAAGGAATTGATACGTCATTTTTTTTTAAGTGTTAAGAAAACAATAATTTCCTTCCAAGGAGGAAGGGATCATTTGCAGGAATAGTTGGCCAAAGTGTAAATGCTGAGGACACAGCAGCTTCAGCTTATTAAGTGCACCAGAGGACCAATTCAAGAAGGTAAAGAAAAACCCTAGTTTGAGGGAGAAATAAGTCCGCTCAGAGGAAACTGAGCAGGGCTCGGGTGTGATGGAACAGTTCAAGATGTTCACCAGGGGGACAGTTTAAAACTGTTCCCAAAACACAGGTTCCTCTCAAGTACACACACTCCAAGTCAGAATGGGTGTCACCAGAAAAAACATTATTTTTAGAAAACATAAAGCAAATTATTGTCATTTCTAAAAAGTACACATCTCACGTGTTACAGTTCAATGGAAAATGACTACCTCTGGTGTGGCAGGTGATCTGTCTGGGAGTCATTTCTGACTGCTGCTGTAGGGGACGAAAAAGAGAGAGGCTGAAAACCCTACTGCAATCTCTCTGATCAGCCACCCTCACCCCACTCCCTAATCTCACAAGTTTCTGTGCTGACTGCACAGTTCAAAATCAACTTTATTTATTTATATATTTCTTTACTTTTAGGCCATGCCGCTCGGCACGTGGGATCTTAGCTCCCCGACCAGGGATCGAACCCGAGCCCTCTGCCTTAGAAGCACGGAGGCTTAACCACTGGACCACCAGGGAAGTCCCTCAAAGTCAACTTTAAACCAAGCTTCCTAAAAGGGGCCTAATTATGCTCTCTGGTTGGTTACTGTACCTGTTCCTTCACCAAATGCAATTGAACATACTGCCTCTCTGGAATACTCCCCCCCTTTTACCAATTAACTTTTATCAACTCCCTAACATTTATAATGTGCCAGAGAAATAAATAAGATTCATTTAGCATTCCTGTGGCTCCTTGTTCTCCTGTATTAAATGGGGGGGGGGGCGGAAATACATTCTTTCATCTCAAGCCCAACACAGATTGCAGCAGGGAATCGTTTTTAAGAGCTCGACATCCCTAACCAAAGTCACCAATTGCCAAGTGTGACATTTAAGACCCTCCCCCAGCCTCATCCCACTACTGGGTTTTTATCAAATCTTACTTTTGAGTTTAAAGTTACACGAAAATTACACTTGTATTCCCTGTACCTGTTTGATATGCACAGACCACATTCATTGTATCGAGAGCGTTAATGGTTTACCTCTAGGGAATGCACGTCAAACAGATGTGTGACCCGGGGCTGGTGGTCCCGCTCATCCTCCAAAGACGAGGTAATGACATGGAATAACTCATGAGCGTCCTGTCAAAGGGCAAAGCATTCTTCAGAGCGGCCCGAAGAGGCCGCGGCAACGTCAGAACCACCCCTGTGTGGACCACCAGGAAGACCCCCTATGGCTAAGGTGGGCAGAATTTGCTTCCCACCATCTCAAGGCCCAGTGCGTTAAATGGAAATGGTTACATCCTAGACATTTTCACCAGTAAAGGCCCTCAAGTGAGAGGCCCAAGGAGAGAGAGAAGGAACGAATGCTGGGTGGGCAGGCTTCACGCTGATCCGAGCCATCTCTGAGCCTGTTTTAGCTTTACTGAGAGGGCTCTGACCTCTGCTCTACCTGACTACTGTTTTGTTTTCACTGTGGTAAAACACTCATCCAATTTAAGCTTTTTAAGTGTACAGCTCATTGGCATTAAGCACATTCACACTTGTGCTCCCATCACCACCGTCCATCTTCAGAACTTTTTTCGTCTTCCCAAATGGAAACTCCACGCCCACCAAACACCAACTCCCCAATCCCCCGCGCCCCTCGGCACCCACCGCTCTGCTCTGCTGTCTATGGGTTCCGCTTATATCCTCAGGTAAGCGGAATCACACCGTATCTGTCCTTTTGTGACTGACTTGTTTCACTTAGCACCATATGCCGATTCAGCTATGACGTAGCACAGAATTCCCTTCCTTTCAAAGGCTGAGTAATACTCCACTATGCACACCTATCACATCTTGTTTATCCATCAGCCATCCATGGGCAGGTGAGCTGCTTCCGCCTTTCAGCTGTCGTGAATGATGCTGCTGTGAACCGGGCTACACAAAATATCTGAGTCCCTGCTTTCAGCTCTTACGGGCATACACCCAGAGCAGAATTGCTGCCTCATGTGGCAGGGGACTATTTTTTAAGGATCAACTCAAACGCCCCTCTCCCCAAAAGCCAAAGCCACCCCGACTCTCCTGGGATGGGCAGCCCGTCCCCCCTGAACTCTGATGCAGCTGATGCTCACTGGGCTGCCACTCTTGGCTCCGTCCACAGTCACCAGAGTGATCTGTTTCTAAAGGCAAATGACTTTTCTCTTCTGCTTTCAACCTCCCGATGGCCTCAACTGCTGCAGTGAACGGCTCCCTTCTTAGCTGGCTGGCCAGCCCTGACACGCCCCGGCCCTAGAACCTTCTCCCCTCCCTGCCGCGCCCCAGCCCCTGGCCTTCTCTTGCTCCCTGAATGTGCCAAGCCGGCTCCCACCTCAGACCTGGGTCTTTCCCGCGCCCGGGTCTTCACGCCTTCACGCGGCCGCCTCTCTCTCATCCTTCAGGGCTCCTCAGGGAACCCTCCGTCACCAGCCCTCCCTGACCTAACCTCACCCCCGGCCATTCAGCAGCGGCCCCACAGGCTCTCCCTCCAAACCACCCGCTGAATCCCTGAGGTCTCTCCACTGCCCTGCCTCAGCCCCAGCCTGAGCTGGACCCTCCCCGGCCTGGGTGTCTGCACGCCGCCAGCTTTCCTCTCTGCTCCCGTCCCGCCCCCCTGCACCCCTCCTGTACACAGAGGCCGGCGTGGTCCTGTTCACATGTTAGGTCCGGCCAAAGCGGTCCCCTGCCAATGCTCCGAGTGGCTCCCCCTGCACGCAGAGCAGAAGCCCAGCTCCAGCCCTCGGCCTCCCAGGCCCTGCAGTCCCCACAGCCCCCTCTCCTCCACTGCTTGCCCTGCCCTTCCTGCCCTTCTCAACTCTGTGTCCTTGCAGCTGCTTGAGGCTTTTGCCCTGGCTCTGCTCCTCCGGCTGGCACGCTGCGCCCACAGCACCCCGGGCCTCGCTCCTCTTTAGACTCCAGGTCTCAGCTGAAACCTCAGGTCTCTAGAGAAGCCGCCCCCTCTAAAGGAGTCCCCCTGCCGCTTTCCTCTCACCGCCAGTCCTCCCGCACTTTCTCACATCACCTTCTTAGCACATGTTAAAGTTACCTGTGGGTGGTCTGCAGCCCCACCCTCACTACACCGCGAGCTCCTTGAGCACAGGGCCCCTGCAAGTCACGCTCGATACTACCACCCAGCGCCCTCAGCAGGCCCTTCCCGAGGTCGGCGTTCAATAAGCATCTGTTGCACATGTAAATGAATCCCCTCTGAGGCTGTGACCAGCAGTTGGCGAGAGAGTGATGGAGAGTCCAAGGTAAGTAAGGCGAGGCTCTTGCCCTCAGGGACTCACAACCCAGGGGCAGACATGGCAGCCTCGCTACTATCTAGCAGTGCAATGCTATGGCCCTGTTATGACCAGTGAGCCCTGGACATGGAGCTGAGGGAGGATCATCTCTTCCTGCAAGGCTCGGGGAGCCTTGACAGACCAGGCATCTGGGCCAGCCCATGAAGCATGAGCAAGGGTTCACCACAGAGAAAAATCCCAAGACAGGATGGAGTCGGATCCAAAACCTATTCTGTCACCGTCAGCCATGTGATTACTTGGCCTTGAGAAAAGGAACAGTATCGCAGAAGAGCTGAAGAGCAGCCACTTTAGCGCCGGACTGGCTTGAATCCTGGCTCTGTCACTCAAATAGCTGTGTGACTTTGGGCAAGTCACTTGGCTGCTCTGAACCTCAGTGTTCTCATCTGTAAAATGGGGATAGTAACAGTAACTCCTTACAGGGCTGTGGTGAGGATTCAATCAGATAATTCACATACCTGGCCCAAAGCACCCCACAGCTCTAGCTTTAGACACTGAAAAGTGGTTGGATGACCAGATCATTAATAGTGAAGGTGTGGACAAGGCCCCATGCTAGATACTCTGGGTACCTTCAAAGAGGAACAGAACCAGAGACAGACAGACATGCTTTCTCCTTCCCATACATACTACGGCACTCTGCGGCTCAGTGTCAGACACTGGAAATACTCCCCAGGAGCAACTGGGACTTAAGTGGGTCCTTGACAGAAGAGCAGGACTTAGAAAAGGAATGTGGGCAAAGAATGTCGCCTGTCATATCAGTAAACAAAGGACGTTGCTGGCCACCAAAGCATCAGCTCCTGCAGCCGCTCCCTACTGTGTCCTCTGAGGGGATTCAAGATGGAGAAAAGCAGGATACCGGCCCTAGACAGCTAAGGGGCATCTCGAAGGAATGATTTCAATGAACTCAGACACTTGCATCTTCCCTTACACAGAAAAATGCTAAATTCATTAACTTGACATGTCTGTTTTTTCTTAATTAACAGTAATCTTCTTTTGTTCTGACTACCTGTTTTTGTTTTTGTTGATTTTGCAAACACTTGATATATCCTGCTCCTCCCTTACCTCTTGGGAGCAGTCCCTCAGAGCTATCTGAGAGGCTGCCTCCCGGGCTTAAGTCCTCAGGACGTCTGTCAAATAAAACCTAATTCTCAACTTTGAGGCTGTGCATTTTTTTTTCAGCCGACAGGTATCTGATATTAAGGACTAAATCTCAGTCACTGTCTCAGTTTAGAGAAATGTAAAATGTAGCTAAATAATTCCAGTTACCAGAGGAGGGTTTAAAAAGTATTCTCTAAATGGAAAAATATTTCAACATATAATGGATCAGTCGAGAAGCACTGTTAAGAAAGTATAGGATACTCTCAACGTCGTGTTTAAGAAGTAACACATACATGGCTTCAGATGGAAGTGGAAACAGAGATCATCTCTAAAGAAGAGGGGAGAGAGGAAGCCTTCCCGCCTCACTTCTCCGTTTTTACATGCCTCCTGCTTCAGCCCCACAGTTTTGGGAGCCCAGGGGCTCTGGTCCAGGGGCTCCCTGGGGGAGGCAGAAGCAGCCAACCCAACGCTGGCCAGGGCCAGCCAGGAAATGTGGCGGCGGGGATGGACCGCCGGAAGTGTACACCAACGGAAGTGGAAGTTTTGGTCCCTAGAGCTTCACTCTCTCAGCCTCAGCCTCGTCCTCTGGGGAAGAGGAGGAGGGTGGCCAGTACCAAAGAAGACAAGGAAGCTGTAGTCGTGGAAAAGGGGGGTGGGAGTGGCTGGAGGAAGGCCCTGGGACTGCATATGACAGCTGCTCAAGGTTTGCGGCCACTTTAAGCCAGCTTCCGAAGACTGATTTTTTTTTAATGAAGGTATAGTCTAGAAAAGAGTCTCACCCAAACCTCTGAGCCTCTAAGGTAAAGCCACCTGCTTCTCTCTAATAGGCCCCAGATGTCCCCACCATCCACTGAAATGCAAAGTCACTCAGGAACTAAAAAGATTTTCCCTCTTTGGCAGCTGTGTGCTCACGCTCTATCCTGTGAACCTTCCCTCTCCCCTGATTGCGAGAGCAGGAATAAAGTTCACAATCTGGTCTCGGGACACTAAGGCTGTCTAAAATGTCACAGAAATGTCCACGCAGGTCAGACAACTGCAAGGTCAATGCTGGCGTTTATTCTTCCCGCTGCAGCAATGCAGCTGTTTCTGGAGCTCAGGCCCCACCTCATTAGCGGGAAAGATTCTCCAAGGAAACCTGCTTTGAATGTTGTGTTCACCTGCTCTTCAAACGAAGAGATCTGCCATCTGTACATTCTTAAGACGTCCAACAAGCAGCTTGCATCCAAGACCTCTTCATCAGTGACTTCTTGGCAGGATAAAGCTGGGAACGAAAAAGGTAGCACGGTTATTAAGTGAACCAGCATGACAACCAACCAGAAAAGCTGCACAGCACAGCGTGTCAGAGCTAATTAATAACGTAAGGGCTGTAAAATTCGCCTTGGAATCGTGTCTCTTTCATTATTCTTCCTTGTAGTCTTACCCAGTGCTTCGTACACTAGCAGACACTTCGTGTTTGTCGAATGAAGGTAATGTTTCATGAGGCTGCACCATTTAAATGAAGTAATTGACTTTCAGATATCTGAATTACTATCATCAATATAGATTTACTGTTGCAGGATTTGTAGTGAATACAATGATTTTAACTCACAACTCTGAGGGACAGGAGGGCCTTTAAACAACCAGCCTTTAAACAACCATCTGGTCCAACCCTACACTCACCGCCCTAACCCCTCTCTACAGGACTCTCTCCTGTGGCCATAAGGCCTTCTCTTGGATTTGTTTGCATTTGAGTTTCTGATTATCACCGCAAAGCATCAAGCTCTATGAGGCAGCCTGAAATGGTCTTCTGAGTGGTTTACTTTTCAATCAAGGTAGAATCAAGCCTAATAGACAAAAATAAAAGTCTGATGGGCTTATGAATTTATATTACAATTACATCTAGATGGGGGTTGGCAAACTTTTTCTGTAAGGGGTCAGCTAGTAAACATTTTAGGCTTTGCAGGTGTCTGTAGCAACTACTCATCTCTGCCCATGTAGCACAAAAAGCAGCCATAGGCGACAGATAAGTAATATGTAATATTACATATTACATAAATAATATGTAATATTACATATTACATAGATAATATGTAAACAAATGACCATGGCTGTGTTTCAATAAAACTTTATTCACAAAAACAGGCGGTGGGACTTCCCTGGTGGTGCAGTGGTTAAGAATCCGCCTGCCAATGCAGGGGACATGGGTTCGAGCCCTGGTCCGGGAAGATCCCACATGCCACGGAACAACTAAGCCCGTGAGCCACAACTACTGAAGTCTGCGCACCTAGAGCCTGCGCTCCACAACGAGAAGCCACTGCAATGAGAAGCCCGCGCACCGCAACTAAGAGTAGCCCCCGCTCGCCGCAACTATAGAAAGCCCATGCGCAGCAACAAAGACCCAATGCAGCCAAAAATAAATAAATAAAGTTATTAAAAAAAAAAACAGGCGGTAGGCCAAATTTGGCCCAAGGGCCATAGTTCGTTAATTCCTGATCTTGACCACCCCCCGTCCCACAGCATATTATGGACCAGTATATCACACTGGGCCAGTGCTGCTAGTGCAGAGGAGACAAAAATACAGCAGCCTGCCCTCTCAGTGCAGTTTCTGGGAGCTCAGTGATTCTCCAGATAAACTAAGCCAGCCTGTTTCTCCTCCTTGATTTGCAGTCAGGGAACTTGAGAGATAGCTCTGAATACTTCAGACTCTGACTCTGGAGGGTCTGAACACTGCCAACGCCACCCCTCTCAGAACATGGCTGGTGCCGTGGGTGGTGACCTGCGGTGGAGAAGCAGCAGCGTTGGCAGCCAGTAGCCAGTCATCAGTGCAAATAAACCCTGAGGTCAGACCTTTACCCTCCAGTATGAAGGAGACCCGTCAGGAGAGGTCCTGTTCCTTCCTTCTTCCTCCTACATTCCGAGGCAGCCCTTCTGTTAGCTTTTACCCTCCCAAGGAAAATCTGAATGTCCCCTTCAGCCCAATTTTGCCTAAAATGCTGTGTGGCAATGTGGCAATGTCTACTAATTTTCATATCCTACAATCCAGCAGTATGACTTTCCCAGGATCTACCTCAGGAAAAGAGGTGCCTATGTGCACGATGGGCATGTACAAGGATGTTCACTGCAGCCTGTTTATGTAGACAAGGCACCGGAAGCAAATGGCTAATTAAACCGGGATATCTTGCGATTATGGATGCTATGCAGCTGTAAAGGTGTGTGACGTTTGTAAATCACATGTTTGATAAGGGCTTGAGTCCCAAAATATATAAGGAACTCCTAAAACTCAACAACAACAAAAATACAGAAAACCAAATTAAAAAATGGACAAAAGATCTGAATAGACGTTTCATAAAAAAAACACAAAAACCCCTAGAAATGGCCAATAAACACATGAAAAGATGCTCAACATAACCTATGATTAGGGAAATGCAAATCAACACCACAATGAGATATCACTTTCACACTCATCAAAAAGACAAGGGGCTTCCCTGGTGGCGCAGTGGTTCAGAGTCCGCCTGCCGATGCAGGGGACACGGGTTCATGCCCCGGTCCGGGAAGAACCCACATGCCGCGAAGCGGCTGGGCCCGTGAGCCATGGCCGCTGAGCCTGCGCGTCTGGAGCCTGTGCTCCGCAACGGGAGGGGCCACAACAGTGAGAGGCCCGCGTACCGCAAAAAAAAAAAAAAAAGACAATAACAAGTGCTGGTGAGGATGTGGAGAGCTGGAACATCTGTGCACTGCTGGTGGGAATGTAACATGCCAAGGCTGCTGTGGAATGCAGTATGGTGATTCCTCAAAATAGTAAACAGAATTACCATTTGATCCAGCAATTCCACTTCTGGGTCTATACCCCCCAAAGTTAAAAGCACGGGCTTGAACAGATATCTGTATACCAGTCTCCACAGCAGCATTATTCACAATGGCCAAAAGGTGGAAACAACCCAAGCATCCACTGACCTATAAATGGATAAACAAAATGTAGTGTGTATATACATACATATACACACACAGCGGAATATTACTCACATCCAGCCTTAAAAAGGAGTGAAATTCTGACACATGCTACAATGTGGATGAACCTCAAGGACATTATGCTAAGTGAAACAAACCAGACATAAAAGGACAAATATTGTATGATTCCACTTAAATAGGGTACATAGTCAAACTCATAGAGACAGAAAATAGAATAGTAGTTACCAGGGTCTGGGGGTAGTGGAAACTGGAAAGTTATTGTTTAATGGATACAGAGTTGCAACACGGGAAGATGCAAGCTTTCTGGAGATGAATAGTGGTCATGGTTGCACAACAATGTGAATATACTTAATACTACAGAACTGTTTACTTGAAAATGGTTATGGTGGTAAGTTTTACATTATGAATATTTTACCTCAAATATTTATTTATTTATTTATTATTTATTTATTTATTTTAATTTTGGCTGCATGTGGCCTTCGTTTCTGCACACGGGCTTTCTCTAGTTGTGGAGAGCGGGGGCTACTCTTCGTTGTGGTGCGCGGGTTTCTCATCGCAGTGGTTTCTCTTGTTGTGGAGCACGGGCTCTAGGCACGCGGGCTTCAGTAGTTGTGGTGCACGGGCTTAGTTGCTCTGTGGCATGTGGGATCTTCCCGGACCAGGGCTCAAACCCGTGTCCCCTGCATTGGCAGGCAGATTCTTAACCACTGCGCCACCAGGGAAGCCCCTTCACCTCAATTTTTAAAAATGGGCAAAGGATATGAGTTGGCAGTTCACAGAAGACAAAATACATGAGACCAGTAAACTCACAAAAAGAAAAAAAAAACGGTGAATGAGGCAGAGCTACAAGTAATGAAATGCCCATTTTTCTAATACATATCATGTTATTTGGTCATAAACAAACAAAACAATATATCATTTCTGTGGGTATTTAGAAACATAGTTAAATGCACAGAAAGTGGTTTGGAAGGTTACACTTATCTTTTACTTTTGGGAAGGAAGGAAGGGAGCGGGTAGTGATAAAGAGAATTTTAGCCTTATTTGTAATGCTTTAATTTTTCAACAAGAAGAATTTACTCATGAATTGCTTATATAATGAAAAACTATTTCTAAAAACCAAGATAAAAGACACTGAGAAGCAGAAGCAGAGAAGGAAGAATATAATGGGAGGACAACACCTAACCCTACATTATGACACCTATGTGGACGTGTCAGTTCTTCACACAGTCTTTGGGATGGTATGTTTTTTTTTTCAACAGGGCAGTAAAAGAAATTACTTTCAAGTTGCCTCTTCTTTTTTTTTCAAGTTGCCTCTTATACAGAAGAGCAGAACTTACTTTTCATACAGGTTTCTGTGTCAAGCTGAGATCATACCTCAGTGAAGCAATATTTAGCTGAGTGTTTTTAAAATCCAATTTTTTTTCTGACTGTGTAATACACACTTATTATTGAAAGTTTTTTTTTTCATGTTTTTAAACTGTCACCTGCACCATGCCAAAATAGCCATGGCTAACATTTTGGCTTTTTCTGTCCAGCCTTTATCTGTGGAAATTTTTGCTTTGGCTGAAGTAAAATTATACCATATTTCGTACCCCACTCTTTCAAACTTAATAGGATAGCCTATGCCCTCTCCCAAATTAAAAACAAAACAAACATTTCATAAAGATGATTCTTAATGGCTATGCAACATTCCATTGATTGCTTAATCATTCTACTGCTGGATAACCATATTCTTTCCTTTTTCCCCCCCTTACCACTAGGTGTTGGAGATCTTTGCACATATAGTCGGCCATCCATACCCACTGGTTCAGCATCCTCAGATTCAACCAAGGATTGAAAATACTAAGGAAGGGAACCCTGGCGGTCCACTGGTTAAGACTCCGCGCTTCCACTGCCAGGGGCCCAGGTTCAATCCCTAGTCGGGGAACTAAGATCCCGCTGCACAGTGCAGCCCCCAAAAAAGAAAACTCAGGAAAACAAATTCCAGAAAGTTCCCCAAAGCAAAATTTGAATTTGCCAGGCACCGGCAACTACTGACGTAGCATTTACATTGGATCAGGTATTATAAGTAGCATAGAGATGATTTAAAGCTTATGGGAGGATGTGCAGAGGTTATACACAAACACTACACCATTTCATATAAGGGACTTGAGCATCTGCAGACTTTGGTATCTGCGTGTGGGGTGGTCCAGATGCTACAGGAGGAAACCCAGCTCTACAGTCAAAAAAAGTGGTTTCAAAATGAAGTTAGATTGGTGGCTTCCTAAAACCTTTACCAAGCCCGTGCACACTGTGACTCTCCAAGCTCGGGGCCAGTATTGGGCCATTCCCACACTTGTTTGCCCTGAGAACTCCACTGCAGGCTAGTGTAAATCATCGTCCACCAGTTACTTGGTCAAACGGTACTGAACATTTTGCAAGCTATTACTGTGTGGTTCCACTGTTTTCCAGAAAGGCTGCCCCAAGTTACGCCACCACCAGCATTTATGGACGTGTCACCCAACAGCTAGCTGGTCAGGATTGTGGATTTTCCAATCTTTGCTGACAGGCCAAAAAATGGTACCTCACTATTATGTTATTTATATTTCTTTGATGATGGCCAAATTGCTTATTTTGTTTGTTAGATGCATTCTGTATCTATCTCAATACAATCTGTATTATGTCTTTTGTGAATTACCTTACTTCCTAGGCTAAGACACTTTTTGTTTTTAAACTTTGATGTTTGTGAAACCAGAGTACTTCTTACAGTCAAAATGCTTAAATGGAAGTGGATTTTTCTCCTTCCCTAAAAAGCTGTTACTAAACTGACAAGTTTTAAAATAAACGATTACAGCTTTGATTTTAAAAAAAAACACCTGTCTCTAACTATTGGGCCCTTAGTGCTTTTATCATAATGATAGGTATGATCTTTTTCTACATAAAGGCCATTAACCTTTTGCCTGCCATCTGGGCTGCTGCTCTGAAAATGCACAGCACGCCCTTTACATTTCCAGGTAGGTACCTTTCAAGAGATGCAACAGTGTCAAGGACAAGCGCTGGTGTTGGGGGGACTCCTCCTGACCCCTGGTGTACTGGGTGGTGAACTCTTCCAGCCACTTGATGAAGGTGGGGCAGGCAGACAGGCCTTGCAGCAGGGAGTTCATGAAGCAGGTGTTCCCCAGGTTGACAAGGCCAGGCACAAGCCCTAAAAAAGTGGGGGGAACAAGAGAACAGCGCATCGCATTGGACCATCTCCTTTATCTTCTCCCATTTGGGACCCAGAATTCCTGCACCGTGGCCTTGGATTGAAAACCCCTACCTCAGAAAGTCCTCATCCACAGAGAGCTGGGGGCCAGGCATCCTGTCCTAGCCGAGGCCCAGTCCTACCACTGCTCCTTCAGGAGACCGTAAGCCGCAGAAGGACAAGTCCGGGCCGCGTGTGACTACTGAAATGCACCAGAGTGTCTGGCACAGCCTGGTTTCCATTGAATGTTCAGAAACACTTAGTAACCTCTCTCTCTCTTTCTCTCCCTCACTCTCTCTCTTCTTTGTTAAGAAAGCAATGTTTCTCACAACAGAAGGAAACAATTGTTCTGTTCCTGTTCCCCAGGACAATGATTTTGTTCTTATAATCAGTGGGAAAGACACCACTACTGCCATTCTGATCAGTCCTTCTGCAAAGAGATCAACAAAATCTGACATACTTCCCTCTTCCGCTGAAATTAAAAAACAAAAACAAACAAAAAAAACTTTTTATTATGAGAGCTCTCAAACATGCACAAAAGAAGAGTAGATATCTAATGAACCCCAGTTACAACCATCCCCAGAATTAACAGTGATCAACATTTTGCTACACCTGTCCCTTTTATGTATTTATTTATTTTGGCTGAATTTTAATCAATATAAGTAGAGCAACACTGACAAAGGGGGGCATTTTTAAAAATAAGGAAATAGATTTTTGTGTTAGTGAAGAAACAAACTTGAAACATTTACTAGTGACTAGCAGCTATTCAGTGAAAGCACAAAGGCGTCACTCTATTAGGCAGCTGTACAACTGAAAAACCCAATGGCCATAGCAATGAGAACACTTAGACAATCAAGCCACTTGAAATTTTTCATTACGAAGCATGTCTCAAACTCATGACCTTAGTGCGGGTGAAATATAAATCTTTTTACTACGGGGTATAACATAATGAGTCATTAAAATTAACTTCTGTTTAAAAGAAAGTACTACTGACAAAATTGAAGATACAAGAGAACCAAAAATGTCTTCCCCTTTCTGTACTGTTTTTAAACAATAAGAGTTTGGGTCCAGTCTATAGACCATGATCCAAAGGCTTCATTCTTACCTTTTCTACGCTTCTTTCTTTCTGTAATGGGACCCCAAATAACATATATTCCTGCTGCTAGCGCAGCGGCAATTCCACCTATAACACCCCAGTTCTTCATGAGTTTATATCTAAAAAAGAAAATAAGTTTACTGTCTTTCCTCATCACAAATGCAATATGTGTATATACAGGTACAGGTACACAGAAATAACATTTCATCAAAATAACCACTGTCCTGCCAAATACCTAGCTTTCAGATTAAAGTAATATACAGTATAGGATTATGTCTTGAAAATCAGCACATTTAGACATTAGGATTTGAAACCTAAGTCAGAGCACAACCTCCCCAGAGCCCCACCGGCCAGGGCTTTCCTCCTGCTCTGCCTCTCATTCTGCTGCCATACCGGTCGCCACCCCGGCCACAGCCAAGCTCCCACCCCAGGGCCTCTGCACTGCGTTCCCTCTGCCTCAGATGCTGTTTCCCCAGGTCCCACTGCTTGGCTCACTCCCTCCCCCTCCCTTCACTTCTAACAAACTACTAGAACCTGCACTCGTGGCCCTTTTACCCAGTTCTATGTTTTCTTTTTACCACAGAGCTCACCACCTTCCAACCTAACTTTCATTTATTCACCACGTTTATTTTCGGTCTCCCGCAACTGAAATGCAAAGTCCCCACGGGCAGGGATCTTTGTTTTACACACTAACATATCCCAAGTGTTTCCAAGTATTTAGATCACATAGTAGGTTCTTGATAATACTTATTGAATGACTGGGACCTGGAGAAATATAGAAATGGATTTATCTTTTAGGTTATTAAACGGGGTAAGGGAGAGGCATACAATAGTATAAAAGATCTTCTAAATATTTATTATATTACAGTTTTCTTCATTTGAGGCTTGACTCGAATACTGAAGTTATTCTTTTACTACAAATAAAGAAATTTCATCAGTAACTTAAAACACTGTCTTCATACACAGTTATGTATTTCCACTAAATAAGGCAACCAATATATGTACCTACATGTATCTGTGCAATATATACCTATATATATGTGTTAGCTACATATATGTGTGTGTGTGTATGTTTAAAATATTCTTATCCCCATGTGTGGATCATGTGAATATTGTTTTGACCTCAACTCAGTCAACATTAACTCAGGGAAGAGCCACTGGTAATACTAGTAACTCTGTCTACAACAACCAACATTTTTCCAGTGTCATGGCTGATGTGATACACAACTGATGACTGAATTTCAATTAAATCTTTGTTCTCCCAAGACAGTGGCGGTAGAATGCGCACAGAACTTGGTTAAGAAAGTAGAATTCCATAATCTGGTTCAGTTCTGGTACTGCTATTCCCTATGGTGTCACTGCACCTTCTAAGCCTCAGCTTCCTCATCTGTACAATGGGGACAATTGTGAGACCTACCTTACAGAATTATTGTAAAGACTGAATAGGTGCTAATGCATGGGGTGCATAGTAAGAGCTTAACAAATATTAGCTGCTGCAATTATCAAGTATTATAATCTCAGCTTCATTCATGAAAGTTATTCTTGAAGTTTCTTAATGCAACATTGTGCTGACTTTTACACAATAGGTATATTCACGTGAGGCCACGTGGATCTGAACTCATGTCTGTTGGGCTGCCAAGTCTGTGCTTCAAACCAGGAAGCTCATGGGGAAATTGAAGGACAGACTGTCAAAAGGATGGGAGAGAGGGCCTGCCTAGGTCCTAAGTAGGGCATGGATAAAAAACCCAGGGCCAACTCTGGAAACTCCACAACACGAGGAGAGTAGTGGGGCCTGGGAGTGAAAAGATCTGGCTTCTCCCCGCAGCTCTGCTATCAGCTCAGCTGTAGGACCACAGGCATGGCCACTGCAAGGCCCGTGTCCCAACTACAGAATGGGGACACTGGACAGGATCGCCACTGAGGACTTCCAACCCTGGGATGATAAGCTCTTTAGACTGCTCCAGTTCCAGAGGGAGGAAGCTGACCTGAGCAATGGGTCTCAGTCATTTAGGGTCACGAAGGGGGCTTGGGCGGAGGGACGGAGCCACACTGCTCAGCTCTGAAGCCTAGAGCCCGAGGGAGGGTGGATAAGACAAGGGACATAGGGACACTGACAGGGTTGAGAACCCGTACTATTGGGGGTCCTAGCAGGAATGTGGGATCTTAACAGGACTGGGAGCCTTAACAGGTTAAGGGGTCCTGATTGGTTTGGGTGCCCTTGCAAGATAAGAAGCCACTAATTAGATTAGGGACCCATACAGACTAAGGGATCCCTGGCAAAAGTGTGTGCGGGGGTGTGACACGAAGACGGGTACTGACAAAGTGCGGGTGGGGGGCGCTAGCAAGCCCGCGGCACTTTACAGGGTTGTGAGAACCATGGCAGGACTGGGGAGCTTGACAGGTTGGGGAACCCTAGCAGGCCAGGTACTGACATGACTAGGGAGCCCAGAAGGATTGGGGGTATCTTGAAAGGATGAAGGGGTACGGTAAGGCCTGCGAGGCGCTGAGAGCTCCGAGGGGGCCATTGACAAGGCTGAGGATCCCTGCAAATTCTGGGGACAATGACAGGATTACAGGAGGCACTGGCAGGCGGAGGAGGGGGGTGGAGGGGGCACTGATAAAACTGGGAGCGCCAGCACAATTGGGGAGTGCCGACAGAATCGCCGTTGCCTGGAGGCCCTGGAGGCCCATCGCCCTTCCCGCCCCAAGGCCTGGGCCTCCAACACTTCGGGACGCAGAAACCTCTGGAATGCTCACTCCGGCCCCTGGGGACCCTTACTAGGGCGTGAAAGGGCCGCCACAGGCCAGCCTCGGTACCCTGGTTCCTCTGGTCCCGGCCTCCCCGGCCGTCCCGCCCCCCAAAGCTCACCTGACGGCCGCCCCGGTCCGTAGGAATCGCTGGATGGCCCTGTCGGCCGCGGTCATCGCCGCCTCAGCCCGGCAGCTCAGCATCGCGGCTGCGCGGGAGGCCTGCCGCCACCCCCGCCGCGATCTCCGCGGCCGGACCCAGGGCTGCGGGGACTCCCGACACGGCGGAACCCGCGGCCAAAGTCCCAGCTCCTCCGGGGAAGGTACACAGAAGGACGGGCTCCCGGAAGAAACGGAAGTGGTTCTCGCCGGAGGACTGGAGTCGACGGACCACCGCCTTGTTTTTCTTTTTCCCCCTTAGTCACGGGCGTCTTCGGCGGTTACTAAGGGAGACCGTGCGGCCCGGGGTCGTTTGGTTTTCAAGTTTTGCTCGGGCCCTGTACATAGTTACACATATCCCATTTGCAGAAGGGGCCCTGGGTCATTTTTATTTTTCGGTGTAAAGAGGGCGACCCCCGCCTGAAAACGGGATCACAACTTGGCCACCGTTAGTTATAATTGTCGTCGGAGTGGAAATGGATCGCAGAGGAAGGGCCTTTAATGAGCATGTGGCACATCTCTGACGACACCTATAGAGAAACCGAGCGAGACCTTTAATAATAACAGCCACCAAACTTATTGTTTACTTAAATGCATTGCTAAGTAAGTCACATGCATTATTCATATTCAGTCTTCACAGTTTTTACATCCCAGGAAATACAAGAAATTTAGAGAAAAAGTCTTTTGACACAGCTTGTAAGTGGTGGAAAAAAGTTTGGCAGGCAAGTCTGTGTGTCTCCAGAATAGCAGTGTCCAATAGAAATATATGGAAGTAAACATTTTAAATTTTCTAGTAGCCACATTAAAGTGAAAAACAACAGATAAAATTAATTTTATCAATATCTTTTACTTGACCCAATGTGTCCAAAATATTGTCATTTATATGGAAAAATTAATGAGATAATTTACATTCTTCTTCTGTACTAAGTACCTCTCAATTTGAACCAGTCGTTTTTCATGTACTCTATAGTCACAAGTGGCCAGCAGCTACTGCACTGGACAGCACTGGAGCCAGAGAGGATTTGCCCTCCCTTTTAATCACTTCCCCCAACTCCAGAGCAAGTAGTTGCAACTGCTTTAGTAAGGAAATCAAAGTTCTAGCTCAGTGGTTCTCAGAGTTTTTGGTCTCAGGACCCCTTTATACGCTTATAAATTATAGAGAGTTTTGTTTAAGTGGATTATACCTAACTATACTTATACTATTAAAAATTAAAATTGAGGAATATGGAGAATCCTGACTCATACACTGGGTTTCACACTTTCCTTGCTGTAAACATAATAATTGAAACCGCTTGCCAAACACTTGCTAGCAGCTAGATCCCTGTGCTAAGTACCTACGTGCACTGTCCTATTTCATCCTCTCCACAACCCCACCAAGTAGGTTCTATTAAAATCTCCACTTCCCTGGTGGTGCAGTGGTTGAGAATCTGCCTGCCAATGCAGGGAACACGGGTTTGAGCCCTGGTCCGGGAAGATCCCACATGCTGCGGAACAACTAAGCCCGTGTGCCACAACTACTGAAGCCCGCGTGCCTAGACCCTGTGCGCCACAACAAGAGAAACCACCGCAATGAGAGACCTGTGCACTGCAACAAAGAGTAGCCCCCACTCGCCACAACTAGAGAAAGCCCACGCACAGCAACGAAGACCCAACACAGCCAAAAATAAAAACAAATAATTAATTTTTTAAAAAGATGACTTGCTAGAAAGTTGTGTTACATGTGCATAAGGTATAATGTATTAAAAAAAACTCCACTTCACAGAATAGGAAAGCCCAGAGAAGTAAAATGACTTGGCCAAGGTCACACAACTGGTTTGTGACCAGACAGGATGTCAGGCAGATCTGTGTGGATCTAAGGTCTGTGTCTTAGGCTGGACACTTCTGCCTCAGACTTGAGTCCATCAAGATGGGACCATTACTACCCCACACTGTGATCAGTACTCCACATTGTGTTGGTTTCAAGTACCCACTTGGGCACATGGTCTTGATTCCAGCTGGGGTAGTTAGGAAGGAAGCATAACTGGTTCTTACACCTTTGAAAAGATGCTCCACCTTACTTGGTAATAAAAGAAATGCAAATTAAAACTCCAATCAGAAAACATTTTTTTCCACCCATCAGATTGACAAAGCATGAAAAATACAATACACAGTGATGGTAAGTATATGGGGAAACAGACACTCTTGGGCATCCCTGTGGGAGAGTAAATGGGTGCCATCTTCACCCTGGGCAATTTGGACTATTTACAAAAATGACAAATCTGCATACTCTGTGACCTACATATTTATCACACACGCATAAGAATAAAGATATTTATTGCAGCATTGCTGCTAATAATAAAAGACTAGAAGCATCTAAATACCTAGAAAAATTATAGTAATCCCGTGTAGTGGAGTACTATGTGCTATGAAAATAATGCACCAGCTCTTGTGTACTAATAAGGGAGACTCTAAGATGTGTTGTTAAGGGAAAACAGTAAGGTGCAGGGCAATGGAAGAGAATGCTATTATTTGTGTGAGAATAAGATTAAGTGCTTATAAATATAGAGATAATTAAGAAACTGGGGACACTGCTGGCCTCTGGTAAGGGAACTGTGTGACTGAGGCCACCTTTTGTCCTTTGAGAATTTTGTGCTATGTGCATGCATTATTATTCAAAAAATAATTAAAAATTTTAAACTTGAAAAGCATCATCAAAACACAGGGGAAATATAGCATCAAAATTGTTACTCCTTCTGGTAAAAAATGCTCATTAGAAGCTCATTAAAAGTGAAAAAACAGGCCACCCAATAGGATAAATATGATTCCAAATTTGTAAGAAGACGTCTATGTATGTGTCCCTGCATCAAAAAATGGCTGGAAAGCTATACCCCCCAAATGGTAACTCTGGTTATCTCTTTGTGGTAGATTAGTAGTAAGTTTTAGTTTCTTCTGAATGCTTTTCTATGTTGTCTGAGTTTCTACCGTGATCATTTATTTCTCTCATAATTAGAAACATTTTTAAGAGATGACTATATAAGTCTATCTTTCTTTATGCAGTAGTTCTGAATTGTTGCAGCCTTTGTAACTCAAACCCTCCTTTTCTGATTGATCTCCAATCTCCAGAGAGATCCTAAAATCAGCTTTTCAGCTTGCTTTACCTCTCAGATCCTCACAATAAACCCGCCTTTAAGCCTTCTTGGGAGCTCTTCAATATAAATCCTTTATAAAAATAATTGATTTGCAATAAGTAATTGTGGGAATTATTACCTAATTTATATGGTTGATCAGTTCATATTTCACATACATTCGTTTTCTTAAATCAGCAAGCCCATGCAAGTTTCCAAGAACTTGGATATGGTTTTTTGCATGTCTCCTCCTATTTGATGTTACTTTTTATGTTGTCAAACAGTGCCTGGATTCCTTTTTTACTTTCCAGTAAGAATGAGATTAGCTTAAAAGTCACTTCCTCCTGTTCAGACAGAAGCCCTGTAAGACTTTAGCCCATTGCTTCCCAGAACATCTGATCATAACATCTTAAAAGTCACAATTATTTATTTTTCTAATCAGGAAGGACCTTAACCGAAGAGGCCATGAGAGGCCAGCTCATCTGACTCGTGAGGAAACTGAGGCCCAGAAGAGTTAATTGATAACAGAATTAACTTCTGCCATCAGTTAAACTAGTCACCCCATTTCCTGGCAGAGACTCTTGTGTTTTTTCTCTACTGTCTTTTCTGAGAGTTTCAAACATGGGGAACAATACAGAAGGGAAGCTGAGTGTAGTAGCCAGCCTCCAAGATATGCCCCAAAGACCCCCTTATATCCTGGATTCATATCCCACATCAAATAAGGCTGACATGTGTAACCAAAAGATTATTGTGATAAGGACAGTATGTAAATTTTAAGGCCAGGTCATAAAAGACATTCTCACATCAACTTTGCTTTCTCTTGGACCACTTACTTTGGGAGAAGCCACTAACCATGTTAGCTGTGAAGATGCTCAGGAGAGGATCTTCTTATGGAGAAGTCTACTTGTCAAAGAACTGAAGCCTCCTGCCAACAGTCATCACCAACTTACCAACCATGTGAGTCCGCCATCTTGAAAGTGGACCTTCCTGTCTCATTCGAGTCTTCATATGAGACTGCAGCCCTGGCTGATATCTGTCTGCAACCTCATGAGAGACCCTGAGCTACAACCACCCAGATAACCTGCTTCTGGATTCCTGACCTACAGAAACTGTGCAAGATAATAATTGTTAATATTTTTCGAAGATGCTAAGTTTTGGGGTAATTTGTTATGCAGCTATAGATAACTAAGACACTAGGAGCAATGTTCCTCAAAATGTGGGCCTTACACGGCTTAGCTCAAAAATCCCCTGACTTCCTGGTTAAAAGTGTAGGCTCCTGGCTCCATCCCAGCCAAATGGATCAGAATGTATCAGTGTGATGCCCATAAATCTGCATTTTGACAAGCTTCAGCTATTTGGATAGCATCCTAAAATTTTTTGGCCATATCCAGACGTCACCTTTACTTTTAATTTAATTTTCTTTTTGTCTGTAGAAGTCACTTTATTTTCTTTTCATTTTATTTTTTTATTGGCGTATAATTGCTTTACAATGTTGTGTTAGTTTCTGCTGTACAATGAAGTAAATCAGCTGTATGTATACATATATCCCCTCCCTCTTGAACCTCCCTCACATTGCCCCCATCCCACCCATCCAGGTCATCACAGAGCACCGAGCTGAGCTTCCTGTGCTTTATAGCAGGTTCCCACCAGCTACCTATTTTACACATGGTAGTGTATATATGTCCATCCTAATCTCCCGATTTGTTTAATTAGTTTAGTTTAGTTTTTTTTAATCTATGTCACATAAATATTTTAAAATTTCTTTTGTTTTTAGATTGTTTTCACATTTGGAAAAAAACATATTTTTCTAATATACATAAAAATAAGTATCTGTATTTGATCATTTAAGTAGGCTAAATGTTTATCCCATGTATCACCTAAAGTCATCTCCATTACACCCAAAAGTAAACACTCTATACTTGGTAGAACACTGAGACAGAGGAACAGAGATCATTTGGAAATGATGAGAGTTATAGCACCCCACACGTTCTCCGGAACTGGACCAGTTCTAGGCGCTGGCATCTGTAGCATCTCCTTCCATTCTCACCACACTCTTGGACAGCAGGCAGGGTAATGTATGATTAGTGCCGCTTTTACAGATGAGAACACAGCCACATACAGGTGGAGAGGCCGGTCTAAGGTCACAATGCTTGAATGCAAGCCCTGTCTCCTGTCTTCCTGCTCAAACTTTTTTGCAAGATACACTATTCCCCCGTGGCCAAATAACCCATAGAGATCTAGAGAAAAGGAAGGACACCTAAAAATATAGAGGGCATACTATTGTGAACGAATGTTACGAAACACACCAATTTACTGGAACTCGATCATAGACCTAAGTGTAAAAGCGAAAACGATAAAACTCTCTGAGGAGTTTTTTCATAGGAGAAAAATCTTTGCAACCTTGGGGTAAACAAAGATTTCTTATGTCACAAAAAGCACAAATCATAAAAGGAAAACAATCTGATAACCTCAATTTTATCAAACTTTAAATTTTTCCTCTTTGAAAGATACTGTTAAGAAAATGAAAAAGTATGCCACAAATTTCAGAAAAATTTATAATACATATATCTAGCAAAGACCTGTATCCATAACGTGTAAAGAACTCTTACAATTTAGTAAGAAGACACACAATTCCCCTCAAACTGTCAAGATATTTGGACAGACACTGCACAAGAAAGAGATATAAATGGCCAATAGGCACATGAAAATATGGTCAACGTAATTTGTCATGAGAGAAACAAAAATGAACACCACAATGCCATACCACTATACACTTATTAGAATGGTGACAGTTAAAGAAACTATCAATGCTGTGTGTTAGTGAGGATTTGGAGCAACTGGAATTCTCATACATCACTGATGGGAATGTAAAATGATACATACACTTTGGAAATGTTAAAGATAAACATAATCTTACCTCAATGACCCAGCCATTTCACTCTTCCGTATTTATTTATCCAAGAGAAATGAAAATGAAAATCTACACAAAGACTTGTACATGAATGTTCACAGCTACTTCATTCATAATAACTCCAAATTTAGAAAATCCAAAATGGTCATTAATTGATGAATAGGTAAATAAAATGTGGCATATCCATACAATAGAATATTACTCAGTGATAAGAATGCACTACTAAAACAACACAGTAACACTTATGAATCTCAAAGCCATGCTGAGTGAAAGAAGTTGAGACACAAAAGAATATGTACTTTATGCTTCTGTTTATATAAATTCTAGAAAATGCAAATTAATCTATAGTAATAAAAGCAGCTTAGTGGCTGTCTGGAGGCAGAGATGAAATTTTGGGGTGATGGAAACATTCTGTATCTTGATTGTGGTGTTGTTACACTTTTTCTTTGCAAGGGCATATGGGCTATTTATACATCTTCTTTGAAGAAATGTCTATTCATATCCTTTGCCCACGTTTAAATTGGGTTATTTGTCTTTTACTGAGTTGTAAGAGTTCTTTACATATTTTTTTTTTTTTTTTTTTTTATTTATTTATTTTTTTCTTTACATATTTTGAATGTAAATCTCTTATTAGTTATATGATTTTCAAATATTTCTCTCATTTGGTGGGTTGTCTTTTCACTTACTCCATGGTATCATTTGCAATATAAAAGCATTAACTTGGATATGGTCCAATATATCTGTTTTTTGTTTTTTCTTGTGTCCCTTATGCTTTTTGATGTCATGTCTATGAAACCACTGCCTAATTCCAAGTCATAAAGACTTATTCCTATGAGTCTTAGAGTTTTATCTAAGAGTTGTATAGTTTGAAATCTTGCACTTAAAAGTATTCAAAACCTTTTAGGCATCTCTATGTTAGATCTGGCTTTTGGTTTGTATGGAGTTGAGTAACCAACTGTCAAGGTTTGCTTGGAGCCCAGCACTTTCCAGGACATGGAACTTTCAGTGCTATAACTCAAGTCCTGAACAAACCAGGGTGAGTTGGATCCATTACCAATAGACCTCCAACTTGCCAACCCTGATATAAATTATTATCCCTACTCTCTAGGGCTTAAAATAGATACTGAATCTCCTCACTTGAATGAAAGATGTTTGTTTTCAGTTTACCAATCATTTATTGAGTGCTCAAAATGCAAAGCCCTGGGGTGGAGTGTAGCTAGGAATATAAAATTCCAATTTCAGTGTCCATAAACAAATTTTATTGTTCCAGGCCCTTGGGGTACATCAACAAACCTTTATGGAGCTTAAATGCTAAAGGGGGGGGAGACATTCTAGTGGAAGGGGGATGGGAGAGCCATTAAACAAGATGAAGAGGATTTTGAAGGCAGGGATTTGGTTTTATTAATCTTTGATTCCCCAGAACTGTAGAAATCACTCACTAATGCTTGTTGAATGAATGAATGAGTAGCTTTCTCCTACTCAACGTACATTTTTTTTTGTGTGATTCATTTCACAAGACCTCAGCTCTGTGGGACTTCCCTGGTGGTCCAGTGGGTAAGGCTCTGTGCTTCCAATGCTGGGGGCCTGGATTCCATCCCTGGTCAGGGAAGTAGATCCCGCATGCATGCCGCAACTAAGAGTCCGCATGCCACAACTAAGAAGCCTGTATGCTGCAACTAAGGCCTGGCGCAGCCAAAATAAATAAATATGTAAAATAAAATAAAAGACCTCAGCTCTGTGATGACAATGTCATTTCTAACTTGTTCTCTGTCATATGCCCGGTGAGTCTTACAGTGCCTGGCACACAGTAGGTGCTCAATAAACAATGCTTCAATGCATGAGTACGTATACAATTTTTTCATTCTCTGCATTTGTTATAGCAGCCTGGGTTGCAAGAATATTATACCAGTAACAACCTTAATGAATCCCTACAAATAAACATTTAGGGAGGCTTCGTCAAGCAAAGAGTGCTCATTGGTACCTAGACAGCCATTTCACAGGCTGGTGTGCCCCACAGGCATCTCAGTAAAACACCACCAGCCACAGACAGCCTGTAAATTCCGCTAACCAGAAGGGCTCTCCCCGCCCCCTCTCCCCGCGCAGCTAGCCCTGCCCTTCACCTCCTCCTCTCCGCCCACTCTCGCCGCGGTCTCCTGGCGGCGGCGGCTTTGTCTCTTGGGCTGGCCCCTGGCGGCTCCCTCCCCGGAACAGCTGCCACCGAGGGAGGAAGCCGCGCGGTCCAGAGCCCTAGTGCTGAAGCCCCCGAGCCCTCGTCATCCACCACCACCATGTAAGGGCCATGAAAAGGGCTCGTCCTGGCGCAGCGCGGACATGGAGGAGGACTTATTCCAGCTAAGGCAGCTGCCGTGAGTATCCTGAGGGCGAGTGAGACGCAGACAGGTTTTCCTTTAAAAAAGGAAAACCTGCAGAGGGGCGTCTCAGCGTGGCTTCCTGAATTTAAAGGGAACTGTTTCAGAGGAGAGAATTAGGCCTGGAGGAGACAAGCCATTTTCCTACCCCATCAGCTCAGCATCTGTATCTCTGACTCAGTTCCATTTTTCAGATCCGTCGGAATCTTATGGGGACCTACCCATGTTATGTTTTCCCTTATAATGGCTCTCAATCCTAAAGGCATTTTGAGGTCTGTGTTTTAAGAGAGCATTAGCTGCTGTTTTGAAATGCGGACTGAATTGATGAGTCCATGCAATGACATCGGTCCTTTCCAGTCCTTCTCCTATGCTGTGAAATTCGTAATTTTCCTGCAAGGTCTTTTAGAAGGGAATGATACTGATGTTGCAAACTGGTTTCTAAAAAGCAGGGATTCCTTCCTAGAGAGGAGGCTTCTGCAAAGTCTTGTTGTTTATGAAGTGTGTGAATGAGAGGGCTGTGCATCGTTGCTGAAACCTCTTGCCTTCTGAATGAACGGCTTTTGTAACAGCTAGCTAGAGTGAGACTCACTGTCGGCTATCCTTGGGACCTCAGGAATACACTGCTTAGAGGATTGGAATTTTTCAGGGATGCCAAATTTGCTCTGAAAATCTTGGGGGAATACAATCAAGCGTGGCAAGTATAGGGAGCTTGTAAAGGGGCTTCCAAATGTCTCCTACCACAAGCTGATGGTGATTTGTTAAGCAAATTCCAAGAGTATGAGATGGGGCATTAAAAAGAACATTAATGGGGGTTTTGTTTTAATTTTTAGAAGTACTAGCCATTTGGATGGTAAAACTAGACACCATTTGGAATTGTTGGAAAGGATACATTGTTGTTAGTATGTGTGTATTTTCTTGACTTAAATGTTTTTTTCTGTCTAAGCCACTGAGGAATTCTCCCAAGTGACTTTTAGCGTGACTGATACAGCTCTCTGAAGCTATAAGTACTGAAGGTATTGTAGTGTCTGCTTCTCAATCAGTATAAAATTAATTTTCATTAATATTTTTAATTAATTAAATATTTACTTTTAAGCTTTTATTAATTGATCCTCAAATAGCATATCTTATGGAACACAGCATTATTTCACAAATGCTAAAGGACACTCAGTTATAATATCCAAAGCTGATGTATGAATACATAAAAATGTACATATCTGAGTGCAGATATCTCAAGGAAAACATACCACGTTCATTGAAAATAAATATCATGTTTAATATTATCATATTATATATGATAATAATATTATCATATTATCTCTAAATAAAAAAATAATTCAGAAACGAAAATATGAAATTTGGTACTCAGAATAAGAATACATATTGGAACTGCAGTTTTACTGGGATAAATTTTCAAATGCTGTCAGAGCATGTGAACTTTGCAAATTACTCAAAGATTCATGTATATTTAATCTAATATATAGACATGACACTAGAATGACAATTCCTTCCTTAATTTAAAAAAGTAAAATTAATAAGAAATTTTTACTTCAGCTTTAAATTAATTTAGTTTTTATACTAATATATAATATAATGTACTAATATAATATATAGATAGGGAAAATAAAGTTCAAAAAGAAGCACAAAAATAAAAGTAAGTCTCTCTCTTCCCAAACCCCAGTGTTAAGTTTCTTGATTATTTTTCTGATCTTTATACACATAAATACATATAATATCTATTAGAGAGGCCAAATTGTGTGCTGGTTAAGAGCACTGACTCTTGAGAAGACAGACTTGGCTTCAAATCCTGACTGTGCCACTTCCTGGCTGTGTGACTTCGAGCAAGTGACTTAACCTTTCTGAGACTCAGTTTCCTTAGCCATAAAATGGGAATCATAATAGTACTTGATTCAGAGGGTTATGGGGAAGATCAAATGAGATAATGTGTGCTAATGCCTGGCAGATACAAAGAAGTCACACATATTAACTATTATTATTATGACATCTGAAAAAGAATTTATAAAAACAAAATCTGCAGACTCCTTATGCTGGACTCCCCAAAATGTAATCTGCAAACCCCAAAGTACATTTGAATGATGTCAAAATTAGCCCTGAAATATGTTAACCTCCATTTATAAAAAAGAATAGAAGAAAAGGAGCAGCCATGTGAATCTGAGTGGGTTACACATCACGACATAGGTGTTTTTTAAACCACACCCTGTATATATTATTCACAGATTGCTGGCAACAGACTGCCTGAGAGCAATATGGATTTTTAAAAAATCAGAGTGCCTTGTAGAGGGTGGGCAAGAGTGGACCTTGGAACAGGCTCAGTCCCGCAGGAGGCCAAGTGTTAATAGATTATAAGCTGCTAAGTAGTTTACAGGGTCAGGGGAGGGGGAAGAGGGATGAGGGTGTCTAAGAAATAGTCCTTTCCTGCTGTTAGAGGCACCTTCACACAGCTCTAGGATGGGTCATTTGAGACCACAAACAACCTCTGCTTTTCACCTGCTGTCCACTCAGGCACAGCACCATGTACAGGAGATTCAGAAAGCTGAGATTTTATATCTAGTTCTGCCTTACTGTGAGATCTTATGCAAGTCAGATTGTCCTGGGTCTCTCCTTTCTAGGATGATTTCTTGAAAGCAGGTTATGCAGACTACATTGATTGATTGATTCATTCATTCATTCAGTGATTTTTCCAGGGTACCATCCTAGGTCAAGGGATTCTACAACCAAGTAAGATACATGGTCTTTGCCCTCAAGGAGCTCACAGTCTAGAGCTTCAATGTCCAATACAGTAGCCACTAGCCACATGTGGCTATTTAAATTTAAATTATGTAATTAGTATGTGAAATAATTTTCATGTATAATACACAATATAAAATTTGACTTATAAGTAAAGTAGGTGATGTTTGAAAAATCCGTTCCTTAGTTGCCTTAGCCACATTTCAAGTGCTCAGTAGCTACATGTGGCCAGTGGCTGCTGTAGTTGCCTTGTGACAGCATGGGTCCAAAACATTTCCGGAACTGCAGAAGGTTCTATTGGACAGCACTGGTTCGATGGGAGAAGCAGATGTAGAACACACAATTGCACAATAATTATGAGAATTGTTTTAAGGGCTACAAAGGACAAGTGCATGATGCAACAAGAGTAGTTCTAGATGGCGGAGGGGAGGGTCAGAGAAGGCTTCCTTGAGGAAGTGACCTTGGAGCTGAACCCCCAGACATGTGTAGGAGTCAGCCAGAAAAAGAGATAGGATGGAGCATTTCAAATAGAGGGAATTGTGTGGGGGAAAAGCTCGAAATCAGGCTAGTGGAGCTTCACGAGCAAGTGGCGTGAGGGAAGGATGCAGAGGATGGCAGGGACCCGGCCACACAGGGCCCTGGAGTGAGGACAAGAAATTGGAGCTTCATCCTGTGTTTGCTCAATCCACTCTCTCTCCTTTCTTACCAACCCCGTCTTTCAAGACTGAGCTTAAGTCCATCACCTCCATGAATCTCCTGACATCTCCTGGGCTTCAGCAGCAGCAGGGGTAAAAGTATGGACTCTTGAGTCAGGCAGATCTGGGTTCAAACCCTGGCTCTGCCACTTAGCATCTGGGTGGCCTTGGACTAACGACTTCATCTCCCCAAGGTTGGGTGCTCATCGGTAAAGTTGGGATAATGGCCATATCTGCATGGCAGGGCTGTTGTGAGAATGAGGGAGGTCACCACTGGGAAGCTCCCAGTACAGTGGCTGGCTCTACGTAAGGGCTCAACCAGTGGTGCTGGTGTTATTTGTCTTCCTGACTCTGGACTTGTCTCCCTTATCCTCCAGCTTGTTCAGGTAGCAGAGTACCTAGAAGCCATGGTCTCCTTTTCAGAATACTAAGGAATGTCCTAATGCTAGCTCATGGAAGCACATGTCCAAACTTGAACTCCTGATCTCTCCTGCACTCTGCTCCTCTTTCAGTCTCACCCAAACCAGTTGATGGTAACTCTGTCCATCCCATTTGGAGTCAATTTTGACCCCTCTTTCCCTCTCATATTTCACTTCAATCCATCGGGAGATTCTACTGGTCCTGCCTTTGAGCTACATCTAAACTCCTACCACTTCTCTCCACCTCCACTGCTAGTCCTTGGTTCAAGCCTCCATCACCTCTCACCTGGGTTGATTCCAGTGGTCATCTTTCTGGTCCTCCTGTTCCTGCCCTTGTCTCCCTACAGCCCATGCTCAACACAGCACCAGAGGGATTCTTTAAAAGTCAGGTCACATCCCTCCTCTGTTCAAAACCCTCCAGGGCTCTTCTCCTCTCCCACCCCCTCATGCAGCCATTCTGTCTCCTTGTTTTACCTCAAACACACCAGGTAGGCTTCTGCCCCAGGACCCACTGTTCTCTCTGCCTAGAAAGCTCTTCTGCAGAGTATCTGCTTCACCTTTGTCAAGTCTCAAATGCCACCATCTCACCAAAGCCTACCCTGACCACCTCCTTAAAATTTGCAGCCCTCTCTCACAGCCATTAGGATGGCAACTACCAAAAATAAATAAAAATAACAGGTGTTGGTGAGGATGTGGGCAAATTGGAATTCTTACACACTGACTGTTGGCGAGAGTCACAAATGGTGCAGCCTCCATGGAAAGCAGTAGGGTGGTTCCTCAAAAAATTAAAAATAGAATTACCATATGACCCAGCAATTCCACTTCTGGGTATATACCCACAAAAGAATTGAAAGCAGAGTACTGAGGAGATATTTGTACAGCCAATGTCATAGCAGCATTATTTGCAATAGCCAAAAGGTGGAAGCGGCCCAAGTGTCCCTTCATGGATGAGTGGATAAACAAATGTGGTCTATCCATACAGCGGAATATTGTTTAGTCTTAAAAAAGAAGGAAATGCTGACACATGCTACAACATGGATAAACCTTGAGGACATTATGCTAAGTGAAATAAGCCAGACACCAAAGGACAGCTGGTGTGTGATTCCACTATATGAGGTGCCTAAAGTAATCAAATTCG